TCCTCCTCCTCCTCCTCCTCCTCCTCCTCCTCCTCCTCCTCCTCCTCCTCCTCCTCCTCCTCCTCCTCCTCCTCCTCCTCCTCCTCCTCCTCCATCTGATTCTTCACAGTAATCCCCTGCTCCTTTGCTTCTCTTATTGACTCGTTGTTTACTCAGCTCAATCACGAGCAAGTCACAAGAATCGACTCAACACGATTACGAACGAGTGAAACATCATTTCCTCAAAGTTGCTCCTAACTCGAGTGTAGCTGAGAAAGTACCTCGAGAAGGTCAAAAGCGCGACGGTCATGAAACACTTCACGTTTCTTGGACTCTTCGGTCAGTTTTATGTCTTGACATCGGTTGATTGATTACTTTGCGTCAGGAAAGAGGCAGTTTGCAGAGACAAGACACTGCCGTCACAACGACACGGGCATTCATGTAGGATGATCAGGATGTCTTGGAATGTCGTGATGTTCTTCACCTCCAAGGTTGCGATTGATATCATGAAGAAGAGTGAGCTTGAAGAGATGCACATGGCGGACAAGATTACAAGACAACTGATGTTGCTCAAGTAAGAAATAACAGCGTTGGAGGCAGGCAGGCAGGCAGGCAGGCAGGCAGGGAGAGAGAGAGAGAGAGAGAGAGAGAGAGAGAGAGAGAGAGAGAGAGAGAGAGAGAGAGAGAGAGAGAAATTCAATCTCGAGCAATTGACCATGCTTTATGATCACTACTCCACATGACATGACTAACGTATTTGCTAACACACCTGTCAATCTCTGTCAATAACATGTGAGTAATGGTTACATCTAAACGTTTGCAGAGACCTCAGGCATCCCAACGTCGTTGAATTCATCGGAGTGATCGACACAAAGTGAGAAGGTGCTGTAAAAGAGGCCTGTGACATGTCAGCAGAAATCTCCTACTGCAAGTCATGGAGCCGCTCTATGGGGATCATGTGATGGAAATTTTCAGTCCTGTGAATTTTGACGAGATCAGATCAGATCACATCGTTGCTGCAACAGCAGAGGCATTTCTCCTTTCACCTCTCAAGATTCTACATAGCGCAGGTCCGATACGTTCCTATAGGAGCAAGAGGTGGGGGGGGGCGGGGAGGAGGAGCTGGAGGAGGAGGAAGAGAAAAAGAAGGAGGCGGATGTAAAGATTCTTTCAGACGATCTTGGCGGTTGACTACATTCACTCCTGCGGGGTCATTCATCGAGACGTGAACCCGGCAAACCTGGTCGTGTGCTGATCACTGACGATGAAGAGAAAGATGACAGGAGGCGTCAGGTGCTGGATCACCTCGGGCATCTGAAACTGACGTCCTTCTCCTGCGCTAAGAAGGTCTCCCTGCAAGAGCGCAAGCTCAGATTCTCACGCTGCTCTCAGACGTTCGGAAGACGATGCGGCTCAATGGTTGGAAGTCCGCAGTATCAAGCGCCGGAGGTGACTGAGGGAGGAGGAAGGAGGAAAGAAGAAGAAAGAGGAGGGAAAAGGGGGCGGGGAGGAGGAGGGGGACCAGGGAGAGACAGTGGTTGTCAGGAGCTGACAGGAGGGAGCAGATGGTACGAGGAGAGCTCTATGGGTTCGCCGTCGACTGGTCTCTCCTCAGCTCTCCTGCTGTGTCCTCATGCCTGGCAGGTGGGGGATAGGATGTTGCCTCTTCCAGTTCGCCACGGGTGACCCTCCTTTCGTTGAGGAGAACAGGCATGAGCATTCCCTCCTGTGACGCCTCCCTACTCCTCCCTCCTCCCTCCTCTCCCCTCCTCTTCTTTGCCTTCCTCTAACTTTCTCCATCTCCCCCCGGGCTCTTCGCTTTGGCTGTCCACTTGCTCTCCTTACTTGCGATATACAGACACCATCTCTTCCAGATAATTCTGGAGGGAAAGTACAAGATTCCTCGGTTCCCTTCCCCCCCTCTCTCGACTTCCGCCTGTTTCCACTCCTCCTACCTTTACTCCTCCTCCTCCTTGTCCTCCTCCTCCTCCTCCTCCTCCTCCTCCTCCTCTCTCTCCTCCTCCTCCTCCTCCTCCTCCTTCTCAGCTCTTTCCTTCTCACTCTCCTAATGGATCTCCTGATTCCTCCTTGTCTCTGACGGATCAAAAGATTTGTAGACAAGCAGACCAAGATGCTCATCAAACGACTCTTCCAGCTAGAATAGCTCGACTGTAACATTCTTGCTGCTTCTCCTCCTCCTCCTCCTCCTCCTCCTCCTACTCCTACTCCTACTCCTCTATAGCTTGGCCTTCCTTCTCCTCCTCCTCCTTCTTCTCTCCAGTGTTGAAAGATCATCAGCCTATGAAATCACAATCAACCATGACAAAAGCAAGCACAAGCTCTGTTCACTGAGAAGACCTGACAAGTTTGATTGTCTTTTAATGTTAATGTTCTTTCGCTAAGATACACTCTCCTTCCCTCCTTCTCCCTCCTTCCCCTCCTCCATCGCTATTGCTCCTTCTCTCCAGCTCTTCTTCTCCTTCCTCCCTGCACGTTCCCTTCACGAGAAGGCTTCTTGCATCCTCTGCTTCCATCTTGCCATGAGCGTCTCTCTGATCTTCTCCAGCTTTTCCCGAGCTCCCTCCCCTTCTTTCTCCTCCTCCTTCTCCATCTCTTCCTCCGCGCCAGCCTGGGGAAGCGCAGGAATAGAAGCGAGCACGTCCTGCTGCTCCCATCGTTCGGCATCCAAGACCACCTGAAGGAGGATGAGGAAGAGAACGAGAACAAGAGCAAAGAGAGGACGGCAGGAGCATTGAAGCACAGGAGAGACAAGAGAGGAGAGACTGAGACAACAGAAGCAGAGCCAGAGCCCGAGCTAGAGCTAGAGGCACGAGGAGGAGCCGGAGGGATCAGGAGTCGTTCCTTGAGAGCTCGCAAACATTCTTTGTAACGATCTTGATAGGCTTGTAGATCTTCTTCATGATAGTGGAGGGTTCGCACGTAGTTGTTGTCTGCAAGGCTGAGCCTTTCATGTCAGGGGAAGGCGATGAAGAGAAGGGGAGCAAGTAGGTTGTTGGTGAGCGGAAGTCAGGAGACGAGCTGCTGGAAAACAGGTGGGGTGGAGCAATACAAGGTGGCAAGGAGGAGCAATACAAGGTGGCAAGATCACCAACACCAACAGCAGCAGCAGCAGCAGCAGCAGCAGCAGCAGCAGCAGCAGCAGCAGCAGCAGCAGCAGCAGCAGCAGCAGCAGCAGCAGCAGCAGCAGCAGCAGCAGCAGCAGCAGCAGCAGCAGCAGCAGCAGCAGCAGCAGCAGCAGCAGCAGCAGCAGCAGCAGCAAGAGGCTGACCGGAGGAGAGCTTTGAAGGACTGAACTTCATGGCTGAGCAAGAGGGTGTAACAGCGTCCGACTCTTCCTGCCCTCGCCGTCCTGCCCGCGCGATGGATGTAAGTCTTGATGTAGACCTGGAGGAAAGTCAGAGGTGACGACTGAGAGCAACGAGCGAGAAGGAAAAGAGAAAACACGTGGAGAAAGGAACGAGAAGCGAGGAAGAGAGTGAGGTCGAAGACAGCAGGAGAGAGAGAGGAGACGAGGAGACGAGAGCGAGGACAAAGACAAGGAAGGAAGAAGCAAGACTAAGACGAGCAAGAGGACGAGGAGCATTAGGAGAGTTACCGGAGCATCATAGCTGATAACTACATCGACATTGGGAAGGTCCATTCCTCTGGACATGGCGTCGGAGCAGATCTGACGAGCAAAGTCACCAACTGCAACGGGAGGGGGGAGGGAGGGAGAGGAGGCTGGAGAAACGGCGGGCAGGAAAGAAGAGGGAGAGGCGGGAGGAGAAGAAGGAAGAGAGGAGAAAAGAGGACAGGGAAGAGGGAAGAGGGAGAGAGGAAGTGAGAGGAGAAGCAATGAGCACCAGCAGCTTGACGTCCCCACTCATCATCTTCTTGATGATCGCTGATCGTTGTTTCTGACCTCTCCCTCTCACTCCTCTTCCCTCCTCTCCAAGTTTCGCACCTGCGGCAGCTGAGACGAAAACTTTGCCATCTTGCAAGGGCAGCCGTACAGCTCCAGCAACCTGCCCAGCATCATCATCATCATCGTCATCATCGCCCGCCTCGACTTGCGGCCTCTCAACCTGTACAGACGATGACAAGCGTCGATGGAGTTGGTGAAGCAGATGGAGGGAGCAAAGTCTGCGGCAGCTTCAGGGAGGAGGAGGAGGCAGGAGGGAGGTGACTGTGTTTGGAGAGCAGGTGAAGAAGGATGAGCGGCTTCTGGCCCAGCCCGCAGGGGATCTTAAGAGACGTCAGAGGCTCCTCGGAGAGCTTCAGGTCTCACCATAAACTCCTCGAGCTCCTTGGGCGTCTGGTAGCGAGTGTCTCGTCCTGACAAGCCATGTCAGCCTTGTAGAGCAATGGAGCGAAGTGAACATGTGACGTAAGAGATGCAATGGAAGGCACGATTGAAGAAAAAAAAGAGGAAGGAGCAAGGAGGAAGGAGGAAGGACGGCGCGAGGTAGGGGGAGGAGGGGGGAGGGAGGAAGGAGAAAGAGGGAGGAGGGAGGATAGGGGAAGGTCAAGAGGAGAGAAGGAGAAAGCAACAAGGGACTGAACGAGTGGAACAGGCATGCCTGTGAAGAACAAGGGATTGTGAAGCTCCAGCGGGGCCAACTTGGAGGGGTTTCTAGTGAGCTGCGGGCAGGTGAGCAGGAAGAAGGACGATGACGTCATACCGTAGCAGAGAACAGAAGCTTGCGGATGGGATGACAGTGTGGAGCAGCCTGTGATGAATCGGTGAGGAGGGAGGGGAGCGAAGGAGGAGGGCGGAAGGGAAGGAGTAGGAGGGGGGGAGGGGGGGGGTAGCAGGCGAGGGGAAGCAGGGGGAGAGGCAGTCAAAGAGAAAGGGTTTGTTACCCCGACAATCATTCGGTCGTCCATATCATCCCTGCTATCAACTAGGTTGTTGCTGCTGATATGTCAAGACCTCCTCCTCCTCCTCTGCCTCCTCTGCCTCCTCTGCCTCCTCTGCCTCCTCCTCTGCCTCCTCTGCCTCCTCTGCCTCCTCTGCCTCCTCTGCCTCCTCTGCCTCCTCTCGTCCTCCTCCTCTCAGGTCTCACCGCGACAAGATGGTTGTGAGCCAATTGTGGTAGGACTGCAGACGGTGAGGAAGGAGGTGAGGAGAGGAAGGAAGCACACCTGACTGAGGAGACGGTCCGCCTCATCGATCACAACATACTCCAATGATGCTGAGAGCAAATAAGATCCTCCCTCCCTCACTCACTCCCTCACTCACTCCCTCACTCACTCCCTCACTCACTCACTCACTCACTCACTCACTCACTCACTCACTCACTCACTCACTCACTCACTCACTCACTCACTCACTCACTCACCTTTCCTCCACCCCCCCCTCCCTCCCATCCTCCCTTCTCTTTCCTGCCTCCTCCCTGCCCCCCCTCTCTCCCCATCCATCCGTCCATTCATTCACTTGCCAAGAGAAAATCCGGTGGTATGCAGCACATGCTCCATCAGTCGGCCTGCAGGAGGTGAGAGGACCCAGGAGAAGGAGGTGAAGATACCGGGAGTAGCTACGAGGATGTCAACCCTGCAGGAGCCGGTTGCTGCCTCCTCCTCCTCCTCTACCGAGTGCTCAGAGCGATCGAATCCTAGCGCTTTCTTCTCCTCGTTGTATGACGTCTGCCCCGCCGCCATGCCTGAGGTCCAACAGGTCGGATCAGACTTGACGCAGAAATGAGCGGTAGGAGGACGAGGAGACGAAGTTTGAGAGATTTGGGCGTCTCTCATCTGCAAATCTCCTCACCAATCGCAATCTTGGTGTCGTTGCAGAGCGTCTCGAGCACAGAGAAAACCTTGACAGGCGTCAGAAGGGGAGGGGAGGTGCAGGCCGAAGGCAAGGGAGAGTAGGAAGATCAGAGGGAAGGATGTGGAGGAGGAGGAACGACGGAGAAGATGACGATGAAGAAGGTAGATGATGTTGTGTAGTAGACAAAGGACTGAGCAGGAGCAGGAGCAGGAGCAGGAGCAGGAGCGCAGCAGCAACAGTGGTAGGAAGAAGAGGAGATGATGCTGAACCTGAGCTGCTAGGTCACGAGTCGGCAGCACGATGATGGCGCGGAGGCGGGTGACGACCTGGAGGAGGAGAGCATCAGATTGGCAACATGACAGACTGTGATTTCACTTTCTTCAGCAACGTTTGCACGAGAGGAATGCAGTAAGCAAGAGTCTTGCCGCTGCCAACAACAACACCGTCAGTCACAACAAGAGGAGGAGAAAGAGGAAGGAAAGAAGCCAGTGACAACACGATAGAGAAGGAGAAGGAGGAGCAGGAGCAGGAGCAGGAGCAGGAGCAGGAGCAGGAGCAGGAGCAGGAGCAGGAGCAGGAGCAGGAGCAGGAGCAGGAGCAGGAGCAGGAGCAGGAGCAGGAGCAGGAGGAGCAGGAGGAGGTCGACCTGCCCGTCGGAGCGCTAACACAAACATCTCTCATTGACTTCCACGCTATCTCTCCCTCCTTCTCCCCGGGGATGCAGCAAAGGAGGTGCGTCACGACCGCCGCCTGTCTCGCCATGACTCCAAGGACGTGAAGTCTCGACTCTGTACCTGCACGGGGAACAAGCTGTCGATGCCCATGCCAAGAAGTCTGTCCTGAGATAGAAGAGCGTCAGAGTAGAAGAGGCGAGGAAGGGAGAGAGGGCGGTGAAGATACCAAGAGAAGGACAGAATAAGAGGAAGGGAGAGGGGGAGGAGCAGAAGAGCAGTGGGAGGATGCTAACTTGAAGAAGAGGGTGAAGGCCGATGTGTTTGATAGGAATCTTAGTTCCCTCGAACTCGTGGATGTCTTGTCTGATGCAAATTCATCAGTCACTCTCGTGCTGCTCGGCTAGCTTACGGTGTCTTCATCCACACGGGGACAACTTCTTTCATCAGAGCCGACTTCCTTGACCCTGATAAGAAGAGTCAACCAAAGACAGCCCGGGTGACATTGAGTGCCGACGACGCTGAGGGAACCGAATGATGGCAGACAGGACAGGACAGGACAGGACAGGACAGGACAGGACAGGACAGAAGTGATATGGAGGAGTCAAGATTAAGGAAAGGTAAAACTGAAGATGGAAGGAAGAGAGATTGCAGAGGAGAAAGAGGAGGAGAGGGTGCGGAAAGGGTCGAGAAAAGCTACCTGTTAGCGGCCTTTTCTCCGCCTTGTTGGAAGTCGCCAACTTCATGAGCCCGTCCCCCACCTTCCACGCATCGTCTTCCTCATCCTTTCTCGCGTCTTCTTCCTCCTCCTGCATCCCCGCGTCCATGTCTGCAGCATCTGAGCTGCTCCTCTTGTTCACTCGGCGTGTCTTGCTCCTTGCCGTCTTATCGCCTTCGATGCTCTCCCGCTGCTCCTCGCCATGGCCATGTCCGTCAGTCCCCGAAGCCTCTTCCCGCATCTGCACGAGGTCAGTCAAGTATATCGCCTGCGAGATGTGCCAGACCTGACGGATAAACCTCTCTGCTTTGCTCTCTTTCCTTTTTTTCGCTGGAGGAGACTTGATATCGCGATCTTCTACCTCCTCCTGGCCCCTCGCGCGTTTCGGTGCTCGTGTCGACGACACATGCTCGTCACGCTGACGTGCTTGTGAGCGCCTTGAGAGTTTCGCTCTCGCCTCACCTTGGACTTGACCTCGTCGTTCAAAACAGATCTTAAAATCAGATTAGCATCATTCAATCAGAGCAGTCAACACTGAACCTGTGAGGTTTTACGTCTTCAGTATCTTGCTGAGTCTCTGGAACATGCTGGAGGTCGAACAATCCTTCCCTTGCCTGACATTCTTAGACATTCAAAGAGGACGGCAGCGGGCATACCTGTCTCAGAATCCTTTCTGCTTTTGACTCCTTCTTCTTGGGCATCCTTGACGAGAAAACAAGACATGTCAGCTCAACATCTGTACTGTTTTCCCATCCGACATCGTCTTCCTCTCCCTCTCCCTCTCCTTCCTCCCCGCTTATCCCCTCCCTCCTCTCGTCATCATTCTTCTTCCCTTTCCCCTACTCGCATCTCACGTGCGACTAAACCCTCACTGAGCTAAACCGCTGCTTGGACTAACTTCCCCCTGAGGCAAGTCCCGGGCCTCACTGAGGCCCTAGTAAGGCACCGTCACCATGACCGAGCCTCCGGGCCCGCCAGGTCACAGTTCTGAAGGCTAGGCTGGACTCGGGTCGGCTCTGAGCGTTTCGGCTAGACGTTCAGCTTGTTCTTTATGTATCAGATGCTAGTGACATCAACTACCCTGACTGCTGTCGTGCCTGACCCGGTCCGGGCCCTTCAAGATGCGGTTGCTGCCTGGTGCTGTTGCGGCGTCAAGCACTTGAGGGTGAGAGCATGAATGTCTGGCGTCTCCTTCTCTAGAGCTGCGTGTACAGCTCGATGCCTCTCGACGAGAGCTGCATGCATGGGGTCAGAACGAGCAAGAGGGCGAAATGACATGTCAATTCGCTCATTCCACCCGAAGAGGAGAGAATGTTAAAGAGAACGGAAACAACAACATGCAAGGCATCAAGTATACATCGAACAGCATAAGAGCGTTTCGTTGTTTGGAGCAACAAACATTCCGCAGCAACAAACTATACTCACGCATTCCGTCGAATCGGGGTGAAACGATCAGGATTGAAAACTTCATTCCGCAACCATCAGAGAGATCCTCGGCCTTGACCAGCGTCGCGTCCAGTGCTTGTGTCAGCTTGTTCTCTATCAAGCCTGGGGTGATTTGCTTCTTCTCCATCGCTACCTTGCAGTATTTCTCGAGCTCGCCGGCCTCGACTAGCTCCTTGCAGATGTCTAGACCACCGACAAGTTCTCCGTTGACGTACAGCTGAGGATATGTAGCCCACTTGCTGAATCGCTTCAACTCTTGTCGCACAAGGTCGTCCTGAAGAACTGCAACGCTCGTTCAACATCACAGCACACTTTGCGCGCCATCAAACTTACTGTCGAAATGGTCGAACTCAATGTTATGCCGCTGCAGGAGGGAAACCATCTGCTTGCTGAAGCCACACTGGGGCTGAGACGGCGAACCCTTCATGAAGAGCATGATGGGTGACTTGTTGATCAAAGTTTGCAGCATCTCGTCCACTTCCGCTTGCGACGATCCTCCACGTAGCCTCATGCCGACAGGGTCGGAGAGAATCCTTTGACTCGGGGAAGGAGAAAGGGGCAGGAGAGAACGAGAAGGAGGACTTGCTCTCAAAGCTGAAGAGTTCACCATCACAAGCATCCCGCTCATGGCCACCACACCATGAAGCACCTGCCATGACGATCGTAGCGTCCTACCTGCCATGCTTGCCTGGACAAAAATTGAAAAGGCAGCGATGGGTTCCTCTATTCACACAGCTAAATAGATTGTTCTGTCCTGCTCTTTAGGCCCTCTGAGGTATCACCATTCCTAGAACATGCAGCGGCGGGTGCGGCTTCTACGCCATGTCGGCTCTGGTCAGATGGAGAGAATGGCTTCCTCCTCCTCTCCCAGCGCCTTCTCCCCCACCGACACTGACGGAGCTCATGCCGCCGGATCGAGCGGAGTAGGATTGAAGTGCAAGGTGTCAGGAGGGCAGGTGGTGATTATCGACGTGGTATGACTCCATGCCCTCCCTCTCTGTTGCTGACATGCTCGCGCACCAGGAGCAGAACAGCTCAGCACAGGAGGCTGGACTCTGTGTGGGAGACCTGCTAGTAGAAGTGGACGGGAAGGCGACAAGGACGATGTCCGGGCAAGAACTGGCGGCAGCGATCCGAGGCCCTGAGGTTGAATATGATGTTTTCTTGCTCGCTAAGACGATCGAGCGATGGTATGACGTTTGCCAAGGGAACCTCGGTAGAGCTGCTGCTCCAAGTTGAGGACACTTCTCTGCATGCAACGATCAAGGCCGGTCAGCGAGGAAAGGGTGTGGATAGCATGCTTGGACTGAAAGTGAGATCGCAGAGGAAATGAAGTTCGATCATGAACAACAATCATCAGGTTGAAGGATTAGACGACTCACGATGCTTGACTGACATGTGGGACCTTAGATGAGAACGTCAAGAAAATCAGCTTGAAGAGGAAATGGATGAGCGGCTGCAGGTGGGGGCAGGAACTTGTAGCAAGCCCTGTGGTCTGAAATTCATGCTGCTCAGATCTTTCGAAGGAGATGTCGGTCTTGTTCTCAGCAGAGCAGGCGAGAGGTTCTGATGGTTTGCTGCCATCGCCCTGTCTGATGCTCTTCTTCCCAGCCTTGTCATCGTCGACGTCGCTCCTGGCAGTCCTGCAGAAGCTTGCATGCAGCAAGGAGAGTCGCTAGTCGGGTGAGGCGGCAGGTCGACTCTTCCTCGCCTCACATGTCACAGGCACAGGCTGACGGCAGTCGATGACCACGAGGTGACTGGGCACCAAGAGACGTTGAAACAGCTCAGAGGTGAGCGACGGGGTCGGAGGTCCAGAGGAGTTTGACGCTCAAGCAGGCGTTGCTGGCACTGAGATCCACATCACTGTAGATACAAGCATCCATGATGACTTGCCTCAATACACCTCGATGTTCCTTGATGTCTCTTGCAGCTTCCAGCGAGCTGATCTGACGAGCAGGCCTGCTGGTTCAAACGTAGCTCCGACGTCTCCTGCCAATGATCTCTTTGCATGCATTCAAATGGCAGCAAGAAGGTAGCTCAACTTCAGCTCTCGAGCGGAGAAGGAAATGATTGCTCGGCAGGAGAAACGTGACAGGGTCTAGTCACTCTCACTTTCAATTCAAAGTCTGGGTGAGGAGAAACTTCCCCTTGCTTGAGATCCCATGACAAACGACCAGGTTCTTGCTGCTGACACCAGACTGAGCGACTTCGAAGAAGTTCAAGACTTTGTTTGTAACTACTGTGAGACATCTGGAAAGTACACGTAAGCCTCTTCCTATTCCTCCTCCTCTACCACCACTACCACCAACACCACCACCTCTTCCTCCTTTTCCTCCTCTTCCTCCTCTTCCTCCTCTCCTCCTCCTTCTAACGCTCTGCTGATTCACCAGGCGAATGCAACAATTCGAGGACAGTCTCCCATCGTCGCCGCAGCTTTATCTGAATTCTGCCATGACGCCGAGATCAACGAATGAAGAAGGACACCCAGAGCAAAGTCAATCAAGACAAGTCTTTCAGGTGCTTGGAGTGGAGTAAGAGAGTACAAGTGATGGTTGCGCTTGTAGAGAATACTTCATCTCAAGATGACAGAAGACGAGGACAGGTCGCACTTGCAGGTCACAGAGAAGCTCTGGGAAGAGATTGTCATCGACCAGCATGTCAACCTGCTGGTTTGTGTGAGGGCAGTTGCAACCGGCGGAGATCAGAGGGCGGTGGGTCAAACCTTGTTGAAGATGAAGCCATCAAGGTCGACTAGTTCCTGCCCTTGACCCGTCAATGACAACCATGGTCCCCCAGCACTACCGACGTTCAGATGAAACTTCAAGCTGAGAGCGGAAAGATTGTGGAGAAAGTCGACATAAGCCTGACAATCAGGTCTAACACATACTGACACGCTCTTGCAACCTTCTGACTGTTCTCACAGCACATGTCAGATAAACAACATCTCAACGCACATTTTTGAATATTCTGTACATCTTCCATCGGAATTGTCTCTGAGTTACATTCAAGCAAAGAGAGAATCATTGCACAATGAGATTATCTCGAACTTACAAACAAATTGGATTCAAATTCAGATCCTCTCTGGTTCAGGTGACGACAAGTATCATCGGCTCCGCAGTATCATCTCTCTCAATGTCAACGAGGATTTACACGAGGACAAGATGGTCGATGAGATGCTGAGACAGATATTGGAAGAGAATGTAAACTTCTCATCGATCCAACGACAGGATGAGAAAATTGGCATGAAACACTTCTCTGTCCTGGTCAGGAGCACACCGCAAGAGCCCTTGAGACCTAGCCAGGACGATGTCGCCGGGCTCGTGGGTGAGCTGCATGAAGTCTGCTCGTCGATCGCGGCAGCTCTGGAGGCCATGGCGATCAAGCTCTCGGACCTGAGGCCCTACCGCCCTCTTAGACCTCACGACTCAAACCCAATGAGCAGCTGGGCCCCTGCTGACTGCATGCAAAGGGTGGACCTGATGGACAGCCAGGACAGGCACGAGCTGCCCAGCAGGTGTCTGAGATGGTTAATGGCGAGTTTGACCTGACTGCAGGACTGTGAGACGGCGGTCAGAGGAGCTGGAGGACACGTTCGAGAGCTTGTCTCCGGATCAGCTTCGCAACGTGCTCAGAATGGAGAAGGAGAATCGAATCTTGCTGATGCACGACATGAACCGACTGAGCGAAATCTACGAGGCGAAGCACGCGAGGATGAGGCAGGCAAACGACGAGAAGGACGAGCTGGTGAGTCTACCATTGGCTCCTGTAAGTAGCGAAAGATGTGATGCGGTTCCTTGTGCAGATACGAAGACTAAAAGAAAAGTTGCAGCTCGTGCAGGCGGGAGAAATTCAGGTCGAACCGCAAGCAGGACGCCTGGTGGTGAAACCAGAGCTATGCAATGAGAGCACACAGACTGTCTTGTTGCAAGAGCCCTCCTCCTCCAGTCTCTCCACGTCCAAATCCGACGTGGCGGGAGAGCTTGACAGAAACAGCCGCTCCCCAGATTCGCATCACTCTCAACGAAGCTCGACAAACTCTGTCATGTCTCAGGTCTATACTCGCAAACAGAAGAAGCGAGATGAGCTGACATTAGATTCGCAGCTGGAAACGAGCATGAAGTTAGAATACAACATTCGACGATCCAACTCTCTTCGTCTGGAGCTCCTAAATGCCATTGATTCTGCACAGCGTGTAATGAAAACATTTCATTTGTGAATAAACAATCTTCCAGTCAACACAAGCATCTCTGCCTATACATTTCAAGTTTCTCAATCCTCGCTTTTCTGCAAGCACGAACGTCAAAACTTCAACTGATTCACAATTCGCAGCAGACGCACCACAACTTCGGACATGGTGGTACATGGAGGAGATCCATGGCCGATACCATGGATGCCGGAGCCGTCGACAACTCCTGTGCCTGTAGACGAGTGAGATGGAAACTAGACCATACAGAAAGTCTCACAGTCAACGTCGTTCTTGTCCTTGGTCGCCTCGTCTACTATCGCGTCTGCTACCACCCTCGCTGATGTCTTGCCTCCAGCAACCTGCCACAACTCCAGTCACCGGCCGAATGCCAGCAGTCGCGTGCGAGCGGCACCTTGATGACGGGATCATTCTCAAGCTCTTTTTCGAAGTTTCCTGACACATCTCTGCAAGCAAGAAGTCAACCGCGTGCAGGGATGTGGCAGTGAGGTAGCAGTACTTGGTGATGAAGCTAGCCTCCGCATCGTAGTTGGGTAGAGACCCCCTGAGCCATGCGGCTCCGAGGGGGTCGTCCTTGGAGGCCTCCTTCAAGATCTTCTTATAGTTCATCGCTCCTGCCTTGCCCGTCACGTCGATGTCATCCTTGTCTACTTGCTTGATGATGGCTGACGCGACTCCCGAAGGATCCGAGTGCGCCCCGTCCACCTCGCTGAAAGGCTTCGCCATATTCTTCTCCATGTCCCCCCCGTTGCCGTTGATGATTGCGCTCGCCTCCATCTCGTCGGTCGCAACTGATCCGCGGATGGACCCTGCCTTCTGAACGTCGAGCCCGTTGAGGAACTTCTGCAACTTGGACTGAGCCTTCTGCAGGTCTTTCGCTAGGATCTTGAACTTCACAGGGTTCGCAACGCCTGCCAAGCCAAGCTCGGTGTGACGGACGTGAGAGCCGTCGAGCAGAGACACTGCCACCATCCCCAACACAATCAACCCGGCTGATGCTGCCATGGCGAGTCGCGGCCTGCTTCATCTTGGACTTAGTTTCCATGCGGATGAGAAAGGGAGGAGAAGACAAGCTTGTGGAAAAGATGAGGAAGGGACGCGCTGAGAGCACAAGTAGGAACACATGGAATGCTGCACGGAGATAGTTGAAGGATCTTAGGCCCGAGGGAGCTGGAGAAATGAGGCTGGCGGTGACTTGTTGCCGCAGCAAAGAAAGTGAACAAAACAAGGGAAACAAACAGGAATGAAGAAGAGGGGTGAAGAAGATAAGCAGTGAAGGCAGGCAAACAGGCGATTGAAGAAGCAAAGAACATGACGCAGGGTACAGCAATGGAGGTTAGAGAGATCGGGAGGAGGTACTACTGACCTCCGGCTTCTATGTGACGAGGCCATCGATGAGGCTTGCGGAGCGATAAGCTGCATGGTCGCTCGTCTTCCCCAAATAGCACCACTAACCGGGCCTCTCAGTCTGGCCGGGCACTCACCGACAGGCCAGTGACACACACCGCCGGGGTCGGCCCAAGCAACTTGCCAAGTTGTGTTGCCGCCTGGCAGTGGCCGGCGCGGGGCCCGGGGGGGCCGCACGCGGCCGGGGCACCCGGCGGATCGGATAGCGCTCAGCCAGTGGCCGCGAGTGACCCGGCCGTACGGTCGGACTGCGGGAGCGACACAGCCACAGTCATTGACTTGTCACAGGCTGGCAGTGTGCCGAATCAGCCCGGATCCGATTAGGGCCTCAGTGGCCCGGGAGATAGGACAAACGTTCACTGTTAGTACCGTAACGGCGAGAGGCTTACTGTACACTTAACATCCGTCAGGGCGGCCGGCGGCCCCCGGCCGGGCCACCGTCGGTCACCGTGACTGTGGGCCGGGCCATCCCGACCGTCGCCCGGGCCGACACTGCCGGCTGTCACCCGGAATATTATGACCCCGCCCCCCCCGGCGGGGGGGCCGGCGGCCCGGCCGCACCGGCGGGGAGTCCGATCTCAGTAACGAGCACTACAGGTCAGCACTGCGGGGGACTCTCATACTGCGACCCACCCGCCAACCGTCGCGAGTTTGCCCCGATACGTATTTGATAGTCCCCCCCTCAATCCAATACGTACCGAGGCAAACTCGCGACGGTTGGCGATCCTGCGCAGGCTTGTCACATTCGCGGCGAAAACATGCCGCTTGAAATCATGAGAAGCGGCAGTGAGGGAATGGTTTGAGACGGAGAACTCGGATATCAGAGCCAGGCGTGTACGGATAGAATGATGAGACAGATAGCCCTCACGATAGAAAAAAATGTTCAACCGTTGGCTGACTCATCTACAGGAATATCAGCGCGAGCATGACCAAGATCAAGTTTGCTTGCACACCATGCATGGATGCGAAAGTAAAGTGTGACAACTTCCAGCCATGCTCTAGGTAAGGACCAGTAAGAGAGAGAACGTGCCAATTTTTTCATCGTGTTGTGTTTGGAGTGAAGCGGCTCTTTTCTCAACTTGTCATTTGATGGCGGATGCAGATGCGTCAAGCACAACGTGCAAGGGCTTTGTGTCAGACTAAGAGGAGCCAAGCCCTCATCCTCGAGGAGCTTGGTCGCTTGTGATGCGTGCAGAAGATCCAAGGTCAGGTGCGACGAGGGTCGACCCTGCTCACGCTGCAGGGCTCGATCGAGAGAGGAGGAGTGCGTGTACGAGGCTATGGAGTTGATCGTCATAGACGACGGGAGGAAGGATGAGGAGCATTTAGACCTTGTGCTAGTGCATGAGAGGAGGCAGACGGGAGAGCTGTGGGTGGAGAGACCGCTGGACTTCTGGATCCGAAGCATGTCGTTCGACAAGCCGTCAGCTTTGCGGGAGCAGATGAACTCAATGGGATGGCCGGATCGCGTGCTTGCAAGGCACTGGGAGTTCGGCTTCAGCTCGCAGGAGCTGATGAACACCTTCCTCTGTCTTCCTCCCTACCTGCAGCAGGTGACGCGACGAGCGCTGCATGCGGTAGAGATCATCGTGGCAGACAAGATGGAGAGAAGTCGGGGATGGCAAGACCAACTGCTGATGGAAGGTGGCGAGACGGAGACGAAGCCAGACCTGGAGCTAGACCGAGCCTTCTACGACCAGCAGAGCTTCGGGGTGGTGAAGCAGCATCTGCATCCGTCGACGGGGCAGCGAGCGCACGTGTTTGTATCCGATGCCACGTCGAGGCTTGTAGGACTGCATGAGGAGGAGCTGCTGGCGAGGATAGCAAACAGAGAGCTGTCCTTGCTCTCAACTGAGTTCACCTACTTCTGTTACGTGATGTTCGGCACCTGGTCCTTCGCAGCCAGACCGGGGCAGCCGATGGCCTTGTTGATGAGGCTTCGAAACTTCAGAGACGAGACGGGAACAGAGTGTGTGGTCGCGAGGTTGATACAGCAGCAGGAGTTCGATAGCTACGGGCGACCAAGAGCGATAAGAACTTTCCTTGTCCCGGTGAGTCGAGGGGAGGGGAGAGAGAGTAGAGAGCTGAAGCCAGGGGTGGTGCTTGTTTGGATACAGGGGTCAAGTGAGAGTACCGATCTAACATCCCCTGCTTCCTGCGGGGCACTGCAGGTTGACAGGGAGGAGTACAAATCAGCTCAGGTGCCGTCAGACAGGTCGACTTTGAGTATCCAGAGGTTCTTGAACGCCGGACGGGACTACGAGACATGGACCAACGACTTCGTGTCCGACCTGTACGCGGTAAGAAGGGGAGGGATGGGAGGGAGGGGAGGGATGGAAGGGAAACTCGGCGTCATGGAGGGCCGAGGGAGAGTTTGATGATGGAAGGTGTTGAGAGGGAGGGGGGGCTTCATGTAGGGAGGGGAGGAAGGACAGGAGGACAAAGCCTGGGAAAGGGAACTTCCGAGCTTCATGGAGGGAGGGAGCCGGGAGGGACTCGGGAGCCGGGAGGGACTCGGGAGCCGGGAGGGAGCCGGGAGGGAGCCGGGAGGGAGGGAGGGCTTAGCGTGTGACAACTGGCGGCAGGACGAGACGATTTTGGGGATGCAGAAGTCGAGGGAAGGCATGCAGCGGCTGTACGCACTAGCGGAGGATCTTGAGAGGATGTACCAGCCGTTCCTTGAGCTCGCGGAGAGGATACTGCAAGAGAAAACATCATTGCGGCAACACGACGGCCGGCGGGGCATCATGGGCCTAACTCAGCTAGTCCCGGCACTCCGAACCCAGCGGGGCCGCGGCTAATCGTACCGTACGGTAGTCGTAACACAGGCTGAGTTCAAAAGCCTCCGGCGTTGCGTAAACTTCGGCGGCGCCGGATCCGACTCGGTGACAGTGAGCCTGGCTGACTCCGATCGAGTCGCCGGAGGGAGTCCCAGGGACTCGCGCCGCTGGCCGGAGAGGCCGGGCCGCTCGGCCGGGCGGCGGTCACCGTATCGGATCGCTGAGCTGGGCCGTGCCACAGCTTCTCTGAGCCTCTCAGTAGTCTCTCACAGGGCCCGGGCCGTAGTACTACTGGTCACCGCGGACCGTGACTGAGTGACTGATTAGTCAAAAATGATCACCGGCCCGGCCTGGCAAGTCTTAAAATAGATCTCGGTACAAGGGTACAATCTGTGACTAGGGGTGGGTGGTACTTCTGGAAATTCCCGGGGTACGAAATCTGTCTGAGCTATAATCGACAAACATTCCGAACGATATAAATAATAATATAATTATATATAATATATGGCATTTTTAGCATAATTATAATAAATTCATAATGATTTTCAGGTCGTGCCTCTTTTTATAAGGAGGATCTATTTCCGGGCAGCAGTACCATGTTCGCGGTAAGCTGATGCACGATGGGAGGCTTTGCAAGCGCTATGGGAGAGGAAGGGAGGGACGATGGGAGGCTTTGCAAGCGCTATGGGAGAGGAAGGGAGGGAAGAGAGACGGAGAGATGATTTGAAAAAGAGAGGAAGGAAGACAGAAGGGGAAGGAATTGAGGGACAGTAGAATGAAGTAAGAAGAATCAATTACAAACAGGACAGGGCTGAGAGAAGGCAAGGATAGGACGTGTTAGCTTGCTTCCACAACTATTCATATGATCCCGAGTTTAGGAAGTGGATGAATAGACTCACAGTCGTCAATTATTTGCCATCTTTCTTGCATTTCAATTTTGTACGACATCTTGAAATTTATTAGATTGTTTTGCGTCAAGACACGACTTCTAATCTTTCTTGACAGATCTTGGCAAAGAGTTCAAAGCCTGTCTACAACGACATCACTCCCACCGTCTCCAAGTAAGGCCTATCCCATCACACATCATGTCGTGCTCTATACTCACTTCCTATCCCGCAACCCGCGCCTCCCTGAATGGAGCATGCTCTGACGCGATGGTAGGAACTGGAGTGGACCCATCGAGATGCCCCAGTACACCAAGGCTTTGATCGAGGCCTACAGCTGTGTCGGCGGCGATGTCGGATGCAACGCTGCCCCCGCCAACCCCACCGCTGCTGACACCTGGTCCGGCACCCGCAACAACCCTTAAGCAGCAGGACGATAGTCGTGCATTTGAATGTTTCGAGTGAAGTTTTCTTTTTTCTTTACGATAACCTGAAGGCCATGACGTTGAACATCCGGTCCAGCTGCCACCGCGCGATGTGACAAGTCCTGGCATTCCCAAGGTTATCATCCATGACTTGAGGGAGGGAGTGAGGAATGAGGAAGAGAGGTAGGGAGGGGAGGGAGCTGGGGAGGAAGGAGGAGGAGGGAGAGCTGCAAGAACCTGAATGACATTCGGAACCCCTCGAGGAACTGCTCCTGCAAGTGTAGCAGCAAGCACGAGAGGGCAACTCAGTGATGCAAGAGAAGGCAGGGGAAGGAATATTTCATCCACCTTACGGGCAAGATCCAGCTCCGTGATCTCATCTTGACGTCCCTGCCTGCTCGGAGCCTTGAGAGCTTCATGCAGCTCCTCCTCGCGGAAGCAAATCTGGTGTAGCGATCAGAGGCAGAGTATAACAAGGAGAAGGAGGGAGGAGGAGGAGGAGGAGGAGGAGGAGGAGGAGGAGGAGGAGGAGGAGGAGGAGTAGGTCGACGTCCCAGAGGACAAGACAGGAAGCAGAAACCTGGCGGTCGACTCGATCCATGTGGGTGGTGATGTGGCGGGCAAGAGGCTCGAGGATCTTGAGGTCCAGGTGAGAGGGGAGCAGAAGGTAGAAGAAACACCTCAGATTTCCAGCGGAGGAAAAGCAGACGAGGAGGACGAAGACGTTCCTCTACATGGCATCAGCGTTGGGAGATGATTGAGCTCGACGGCTGACCGAGGCCGAGCAGGTAGAACAACATGTTGAGGCTCGCCATGATCTCTTCACTCGGCCCGTTCACCTTTCGCGAGCCGTCAGGGCGCATGTTGACATGAGTGGAAGAGAAAGACCAGCGGGATCTCAGAGATGTCATTGCGGCTTCCTTTGAGAGATTGATCCAGCAAGGTGCAAACCTATCACGCGTCTCACATGCCCGTCACCTGCATCGCGGACGTACGAAGTCAAGAAGCTCCCTTACAGCGACATCTTCTTTCTCCTGTGACATGTTGAGAGAAGAAAAGGAAAGAAGAGAAGGAAAGAAGAGAAGGAAAGAAGAGAAGGAAAGAAGAGAAGGAAAGAAGAGAAGGAAAGAAGAGAAGGAGAGAAGAAAAGGAAAGACGAAAGAGCGGAGGACGAGGAGGAAGGAGTGAGACGGGGACGCACCCCATGTTCGAGAGCCCATTGAATCTCCTTCTTCAGCATGTAGATCGCTTCTCCTCGCAGGTTCAGCACTGCCGTCGGCTCCCTTTCACTCAGCATCTCTTCCCCAAACAGGACTCTGACTAGCGCAAACTTTCCCCTCTCCCCATGGACGGCGAAGAACCTACTCGTCTATCAGTCTCAACCTGCACAGGTGTGCTAGAGTGTGGATCAGACCGTCTGAATGTGTTGATGGCGTCCACGCTGATATATCTCTGCTCTGACGTCACTCACGACCTCACCTGCTCCCCTCACCTCGTCCAGCTGGTACACTGCAAGCAGGAAGTTGACGAAAGTGGGGAGCACAGCCTCCGCGTCCTCGTCGTTGAGATCGTCTTGGGGGATCCACGACAGCAGCGCTTGCAAAAGATCGATTCCCTTCAATCTCACCTGATTGCGTCATCATCATCATCATCATCACCACCACCATCATCATCACCATCATCATCATCATCACCATCGTCATCGTCACCGTCATTGTCACAGCACCACAATCACATTATCATCATTGATCACCAACCTCCCCATCTACGCTTTTCAACATGTTGTCAACATCCTCCTTGAAGTTTCTGAGAACATCGAACGCTCTTGAAGACTTGTAGTCGCCCTTGACCAGTTCATCGTCTCTTGCCACCACCTTATACACAGCTGGGAGCCAGGTGGAGAAATTGTGCATGTTCGCCTTAGAAGGTCTGCCAGGAGCGGCAGGGAGGAGCCAACCATCGGGCCGGCAGGCAGCCATGTAGATGAACACGGCTCGCACTGTTTTCAGCTCCTCCAGCTCCCTGCTCGCGGGTGAGGAGCAGAATGGTGAGGATGGTCCTACCTCTGTTGCTCGCAATCATACAACTCTTGCAGGGGAAGGGAGCTGTGCAGCAAGATCCTACAAAAGATCTGGCGAAGAACGAGTAAAGCAGCAGGAATCCTGCAGACATGCTCACCTTGGCGCTCATCGCCGCCTCCTCCTCCTTCTTCCCCTTGCTCAACACTCCCTGCTGCTCTCCCACTTGTTGTGGGTCCTGACGGTCAAAGACGACTTGAATCACCTTGGGCTTGCACCTTGACCTCAAACTATCCCCCAGCTGCAGCGTCGGCAACTCTGACGCCAACATGCTGACCGAGAGCTGGGCAGCTGCTCTTGTCATGTTCCCCTGCCTCAGCGTCAGCCACCGACAGCTCGACATGGCAAGCGACCGTCTCGAAGAGACTCCACGCGAACTTGGCGAGTGCCAGCAGCTGCCAGACCAGTCTCAATGGGGAGGAGCAGGAGGAGAGGAGGGGCAGGAGGGGAAGGAGGGGAGAAGAAGGGAAAAAGGAGAAGGAGAAGGAGAAGGGAGAGGAGGATACTTCGTGCTCTTTGTCTGAATTATATTCTGCTTCTACTTCATCTCAGCTTCGCAAGCAAGCAGCAAGAACAAGTACCTCTCCAGTGCGATAGAAACCCGTTGAGCACAAAGTCGAGGGCTCGTTGGACCTCCTCGTCGCCGCCTCTCTCCTGTGACAAGGTCACAACAGCCCCGAACGAGACTCTCGGCCTTCCTGCAGCTTCACGAGATGCCCGACCAAGACTCGCAGCTGCAGCACTGGTGAGCCAACAACAGCAGGAGGCGAGCGATGACAGAGAATATGCAGGAGACCGAGAGGAGGAGGAGGTGGAAGGGGGTGGAGGAGGCAGGAGGAGGCAGGAGGAGGCAGGAGGATGGAAGGACCTGTGTTAACACGCAAGAAGCTCTCCCTGAGCGGAAGTTATTCTCCATGCCAGCCAGGAGCATATCAAGAGCTTCCTTGTCGCTCTCAGCTGCTCTCAGGAGCAGCTCGATGGCGGAGGAGGAGGCAGCGCCGCTGGCATGCAGAGTGAGGACAACTGTCAGCATGGCACGATCAGGCGAACATCTCTAGACACTCTTGGTATGGCATCAGGAGCGCGACGAGATGGGCCCCCATGGCGTCCACGAGCTTGCTCCTCCCCGTCTCCAGTCGAACCTTGATTCCCTCCACCAGCATGTGCACCGCGTCACTTCGTTCCTCGCTCGCGCCGTGCGGGATGATGGTGCAGTAGCTGATGGAGAAGCCGTCTTTCCCACTCCTCCTTACGGCGTCTCCGACCGTCATGCTGCGATTGAGGTGAAGCACCTGCCGCACCTGCTGCAGGACTTGCGCATGCTGAGAGAAATCCTCTGCTCCCGCTCCCTCGAGCTCGTCGATCCCCCTCAAGGCTCGTCTTGCCTGCTCCTCCCACCAGCTCCCTCCCTCTCCTTCCTCCTCGCATGCTCCTCTTCCTCCCCTCAGTCTTGGATAGTGCGAAGCCAAGCCCGTTCCTCCTGCTGCTGCTCCTGCTCCTGCTGCTGCTGCTGCTGCTGCTCCTGCTCCTGCTGCTGCTGCTGCTGCTGCTCCTGCTCCTGCTCCTGCTTGTCTTGATAGAAATGCCATGAAGACAACAAGGGCGAGAGCTCTATGACTGTTGCCCGACATGGCGGTCCAGGCGGCAAGAACAGGAAGGACGAGGGAAGGGAGTCGGGGCGAATTGTGAGGGGGCGGAATTATTACAAGGCTGACGACCAACAAGGCATACTAGGGCAGGGGAGAGGAGAGGAGGGGGAGGGAGAAGAGAGGAGGGGAGGGGAGGGGAGAGCAAGTTGGGAAGGGAGAGAGGCGAGGCAGAGGTGAGGAGAGGACAGAAAGGGAGGGCAGGAAGGGAGGAGAGGGGGGCAAGGGGAGAGAGGTGGGGAGAAGGGAGAGAGGGGAGGGGGAAGGGGAAGGAGGTGCGGAGAGGAGTGTTGGAGGCAGACGGAGGGAGGAGAGTGAAGGAGGGAGAAAGGGGAGGGACTAGCAAGAGGAAGGAGATTGTCAGTGCAAGAACTGACAGGCGTGCAGGGCATGGAGCAAGGGAAACGAATGGCGGGAGAAGAAACACAGTATGACGAGGAGGACTGCGAAGATTTCTTAGCGCAGCAGGACCGCGTTGCTATGGAGAAGCGACTGGCGCAACAGAAGCTTTCAGAGAGCATGGAGGAGGAGGAGAAGGAGGAGGGGAAGGAGGAGGGGAAGGAGGAGGGAGAGGAGGAGGGAGAGAAGGATAGACGGCCACAGACAGACGAGCTGTTCAAAGAGCCGAATATGAAGAAGCGTTTCAAGATTCCTGTGAGGAAATGATGAAGATGCATGCTCATGTTAGTGTAGCAGACTAGATGTTGTTTTATTATTCCATGATGTCGTTCAACCCTCCTCCTCCTCGCCTCTTTCCCCATCCTCGTCCTCGTCCTCGTCCTCCTCCTCGCCTCTTTCCCAATCCTCCTCCTCCTGCTATGTCATCGCCCACACTTGAATCTCGCTCAGAGCATACTGCTCCTTGACTGCCAAGAAGTCTCAGCGGAACGAGAGGGAGAAGGAGACGAAAAAGGAGAAAAAGAAGAGAGGGAGGAGGGAGGAGGGAACTCAGTTTAAGGAGGCGGAGGAGGAGAGAGCAGGGGGTTGAGAAGGGAAGGGGTTGAAACAGGAGACTGAGGCAAAGACATGGCCAGGCTGAAGGAGGAGGAGGGCAGAGGTCGGAGGGGGAGAAGGAGGAGGGAGAAGGGAGCACAAAGTGGGAAGAGGAGGGAGGGAGGGAGGCAGGGAGGAAGAGCAGGAGGAGGAGGAGGAGGAGGCGAAGGAGGAGGAGGAGGAGGAGGAGGAGGAGGAGGCGAAAGGAGGAGGAGGAGGAGGAGGAGGAGGAGGAGGCGAAAGGAGGAGGAGGAGGAGGAGGAGGAAGGGATGGGGTGAAAAAAAAGAAGGAGGACATCGTCTCACAGTGCATTCTGTTCTTGGGAGCGCAAAGCTCGAGGGATTTGACGGCGACCTGGCAGAATGAGGAGGAGGAGAAACCGGTCGCAAGATCACCTGAAGGCAGGGGGATGGAGGAGCCAAAGTAGCATAACATCTCTCCTCTACGAACTGACGACAGCAGTCAGAGGAGGAGGAGAAGCAGAAGAAGAGCACTTCTTCTGACCTCCTCTGCCATGCCCTTCTTGCAGCTAGAGGAGGAGGAGAGCAGTTCAAGCCTGACCCATCCTCCCGCGTTGACCTCCTCACAACCAACCTGGTAGTCATCATCATCATCATCACCACCACCACCACCACCACCATCCTCCTCCTCCTCCCCTCCCTCCTCCTCCCCTCCCTCCTCCTCCCCTCCCTCCTCCTCCTCCTCCTCCTGCATCGCCGCAAAGCTGCTTTACCGAGCTCGCAGCCTTCGCGTACACTCGGTACTCCCTCGGCGACTTCTCCCAGTACAGCCGTAGGCTTTTCAACCTCACGCTTGCGTCAAGCTCCACCTTGAGCAGCGATCAGCTCCTACACGCCCCCTACACGCCTCCTACACGCCTCCACCTCCTCCTCCTCACCGTCAGACACACTTGGTTTCTCATCCACTCCCTCACAGCCTCCATCGTCTTCTGCTCCTCCCCTGTCAACTCGCACAAGCGGCTGGGGGTTCAGAGGACCTGGACCATGTCGCACAGGGCGGCTAGAGGACGGCGCCATGGGCGAGAGGAGTCGAGGAGGAGGAGGAGCGAGTCTACAGCCTCGCGCGCGAGGGGACGGAAACCTTGGAAGTCCCTGGTGGGTTCGTGGAGGCTCCAGCGAGACCTGAAGGCGAGGGGACAAGAAATGAGAGGAAGATGAAGAGACAGTGATGGAGAAGAGAGTTGGTACAAGAAAGGAAGGGAAGTAGGAAGGGAAAGAGAGGAGGACAAGGAGAGAAGGAGGAGGAGGTGGTGGTGGTGATGGCAGAAGGAAAAGAAGGTGAAAGGAGGAGGAGGAGGAGGAGGAGTAGGAGAAAAGCAGGAGCAAGAACAGATTATCGGAGGCTGAGGGGAAGGAGAAGGAGGAGGAGGAGGAGTAGCTAGAGGAGGAGGAAGAGATTGTCGTAGGTTGATAAGTACCGGAGGTCTCCATCCATGGCAGACCCTGACGAGAGCATAAGGAGGAGACAAGCAGAGGAGGAAACGAACCAGCAGCGAGTGAGTTCGAAGCGCTCAAAGTGACAATCCTTGCCGGCCCTGACAGAAAATCAGTGAAGAAATTAGTGAGAGAAGAGGGAGAATGAGAAGAGAGGATAAGAGAGAGAAGAATCGGAGAAGGAGAAAAATGTGAGAAGAATATGAATGAGGAAGAAGATCTACGAAAGAAAAGAAGGTACGCAAACGAGAAAAGCTTGACTGAAGAAGGAAGATCGAGGTAAAGAGTGTCGGAACGAGACAAGATGAAAATGTGATGATGGAGTCTTTTCTGATGGATGAGATGGAAAGAGGAAGTAACGTTGACACACCTGGTTGTGCAACAGAAACTAACAGAGGAGAGCTCGGCAGACAGTCGGCAGGGTCACCCGACTGACGCGCAAACCAACATTCTACAAGAGGCCAAACCTGAATTGGTTGATCATCAACAGTCGATTCCCCCTCCTCCTCCTCCTCCTCCTCAACAGATCCTTCTCGTCTACCATTATCCAGTTTTCCTCTTGCTCGTCCCTGTCCATCTTCCTCTCCTTCTCACCCGCTCGTCGTAGTTCACGTCAACTTTCCTGGCAAACGTTTGCAGGTTATCTCGCAGCAGCTCCACCTGAATCAGAGAATATGTGAGACCATGCAAGAGTGAGTGAGTGAGTGAGTGAGTGAGTGAGTGAGTGAGTGAGTGAGGGAGGGAGTGAGTGAGGGAGTGAGTGAGTGAGGGAGGGAGGGAGGGAGTGGGGGCAGGAGAGGGGAGGAGAGGAGAGGCAGAGGGGAGGAGAAGAGGTGGAAGGGAATGTATTTGTGATGGTCATGACAAAGGGTCATACCACATCCTCTGCTGTCAGGGGATCGGGACTGTTTCCGCATCCTCCGACCACCACGTCCTCGTTGGCACAGCTCCTCCTCCTCCTCCTCCAGGCCTCTGCGTGCGCTCCCCTCCTGTACCCCTCCCAGTTGATGTGCCGCAGGTTGTCGGGGAAGAGAGTCTGGCAGAAGGGAGAGTTGACCAGCACCTGATCGCGCTCAGCCCGGGGGTCAGCTAGGAGAGCAGCTGGGGTTGTACCGTCTGGAAGAAGGACTCGTCGGGGATGAACGAGTGTCTGGCCCATCTCGAGTAGCTCCGAGTCACCCCGCACTCCCTCGTGCATGCCCAGCGGTCGAGAACAGCACCACCTCTCTCACAGACCCCCTCAACTTCCTCTTCCTCCTCCTCCTCCTCCTCCTCCCCAGCAACTTCCCTCGTTCGGGTCAGGCATGCTGTTATGTACGAAACGAAGTCGCGGGACAAGATGAACCACTGGGAGCCCTTGGAGATCACGTGAGATGTCATGGAGCGGGAGAAATGATGATGATGATGATGATGACGACGACGACGACTTGGATGATGATGATGATGATGATGATGATGATGATGATGATGAGGAGGAGGAGGAGGAGGAGGAGGAGGCTGGGATTGAGGGGAAAGAAGGAAGGAGATAGGAGGAAAGAGGGAGAAAGAGGAGAGGGAGGAGAGAAGGAATAGCAAGAGGATGGGAGAGAAGGAAAGAGGAAGGAGGAGGAGGAAGGGAAAGGACCAGAAAGAGGACGGAGAGGAGGACAGGAGGAAGAACGAGCAAGGTCGAGGGAGAGGAAGGTTCACCTGTGCCAGAATCATCCCTCGCGGAGGCGATCGACTCTGGACGACCCTCCACATGCGATTGTCGCACTCGGCCCAGCCCCCCATGCTGAAGGAGGAGTTGTGTAGCTCCAACTGAAGGGGAAGGGAAGGGAAGGGAAGGGAAGGGAAGGGAAGGGAAGGGAAGGGAAGGGAAGGGAAGGGAAGGGAAGGGGAAAGGGAGAAAAGGGGAGGCAGATGAGCGAGCTAGCGAGCAAGAAGGATATTTCTCATACCTGCATCCAGTTCATCGCGCCTTGTCCCGACAGATGCTTCTTCAGGACGTCCTTAGGCATCAGAGGAATATCCTGATCCATCAATGAGCGATACCCACATGCGAGGGCAAGTAGGTGAGGGCAAAGGTTACAGAAACAGGAGCAGGAGCAGGAGCAGGAGCAGGAGCAGGAGGAGCAGGAGCAGGAGCAGGAGCAGGAGAAGGAGCGGAGGAGGAAAAGCCGCAGCAGGAGCAGCGAGAGGAACCAACCTGACCACTAAGGTTGATCAGCACGTCCCACCGACCTCTCCTCCTCACTCGCTCATCCCTCACGACAAACTTCATCATTTCCAGCTGGGCCTTGACCATGGAAAACCCTCCCCAAGTAACGCTCAACGAGCGGGGGAGGAGGAAGACGTTGCCGCGCTCCTTCTCGAGCTCCTCCATCCTCCTCCTCAGACTCCCTGACGTCGTAGTGAGCACAAGGACGAGGAGGAGGTTCGTCATCGACCGTCTGCCTTGCTGTCCACATGAACGACCAGCACGTCGTCGCCTCCCACCACATACTCGACCAGCCTGTCCACCTGCCAACTGCCTTCAGCTCCCCCCGACGTCCATGGCAGGTCAACCGAGGCCGCAGAGTCCCTGGGCCCGATGAGGAGGATGAAGGCAATGCTGACGAGCCTTGCTCCTGCTCCTGCTCCTCAGCATCATCGCACATGGCAGGAGAAGGACGCAACCAGGTCTTGAGGCTGAGGAGGAAGAGGGGAAGTGAGGAGGAGGAGAGCTGTTGGCTCGCGCAACACGTTCATAGATCCTTCCTTCGCACAGCTGGAAGTCAGGAGGGCCGTAAGGGGAGGAAGCAGACCGGGAGGAGAAGACAGCAGCACGTCATGACAGAAGCTCCTGACGTTTTTCCCGACGTCGAACACTGAAACTTGTCAGGGCACAGGAGGAGGAGGAGCTTTTCCTTCACCCGCATGCTGCTGCTTCCTCAGCTCTCCCTCTAGCCCTCTGATCCTCTCCCTGCATGTCTCGCTCGGCGACAGGCTGTGTGTCGTGAGCTGCATGCTCGCACGAGTCGCGAGAGGTACCGGAACAAACTCTCGTAGATCTCCTCCTGCCTTATCTCCCTCGGACCCTCCGGTGTTGACGCCCAGGACAAGAGAGCCGCCAAACCTGCGACATGCTGAGACACATGGCGCTAGGACGGGTCGACAAACCGGTCAGCAAGATGGGCAGGTCTTGCCATGACCATTTGAGGAGGTTTTGTGCTCGGAATTTCATGTCATGGTGCTGGATTCATCATTTTCCTGAGAGGGAGAGAGAGAGACATCACTTCATAGCTATGAGAACAAAATGTCAAAAACACTGATATCATCATGTAGAATACAAGACAAGCAGAGCAAGTAAGACATCTGCGACAAGTAAGACAAGTAAGACAAGTAAGATATCTAAGACAAGCAAGACAAGCAAGACAAGCAAGACAAGCAAGACAAGCAAGACAAGTAAGACAAGTAAGATATCTAACACAATCAAGACAATCAAGACAAGCAAGACAAGCAAGACAAGCAAGACAAGCAAGACAAGCAAGACAAGCAAGACATGGCAGGACTGTTGACCATGAAAAGAGCGATCCTTGCGCGATCCATGGGTGATGGCAGACCACAAGGAAAGAAATCAGCAGGCGACGCCGTGTATACTGGATAGACAAATCGCTATGGCTTGGCGAGCTGTCTCCATGTTCGCATTCGCCATCGCGTCAATGCAAGTCTCCTCATCCTCCTCCTCCTCCTCCTCTCTCTCTCCCCTTCCTCCTCCTCCTCCTCTCTTGCTCCTGCTTTTCTCTCGTCTCGCGTTAATTTCCCCTCCTCTCACCCTCTCCCCTCGTGTTCTTTGACTCGATTCCCTCATCCTGTCACATCTCGCTTCGTACTTTCCTCCTCCCGCAGTCGATCCATCCATCTGCCTCTGTGCGCAGGAGCACGAGGAGGAGCAGACGAGGGGCAGAGAGCTGACCTGGAGCTGCTAGTGCAGCATCTATTGCGATCAGTTGCGGCTGGAAGTATTGAAGAGACGCTGAAAGTAGCTGGAGAGCTGGAGATGCTCGACATGGTCGAGGAGGAAGAGATCGCAGGTCGATGGTCCCTCATCTTCTCCACACAGTCGGCAGGGGAAGGCATAGGAGGGGTAGACCCCACGTCCTACTTGTACCGCACCCTCTTCCGCCTCGCTCCCTTCCTGGCTGGAGGGCAGGAGGACGCGGGAGGGAGGGACAAGTGGCTGCGCGTCAGGAACGAGCAGACGATCGACGTGCAGCAGAAGACTGTTGAGAACTTCGTCGTGATACGCGCGGTCCCCTCCTCCTTCCCCTTCCCTTCGCTCCGCCCTCCTTCCTCCTCACCTCAGCTCGTTATCCGCGTCTTTGGGGAGCTGGCAGGAGAGCAACCGCGGAGGCTCGGGGTAACCTTCTCTCGAGCAAGCATTAAGGTACCCTTCCTCCCGCAGCTCGTCCTTCCCCTTCCCAGACCAAGGGGGGAGCTGCGGACCGGCTTCTGCCATGGCGACATTCGCATCTCACGAGGAGGACGGTGAGACATGCGATGACGAGGTCGTGACTGACGCATGTTGGCAGGGGAGGGATCTTCATATTGAAGAGAATCAGAGCAGCTAGAGACAGCCAGTGAAGGCGACAGGCGCTACGAGCAAGGAAGAGACGGTGATGCAGGGGAGGATGAAGGCGCTTGGAGGGGAAGAAGGATAAGGTTGGGATTAGTTTAGTTAGTCAAGATGAGAGTACAAGATATCACGCCTTCTGTCCTGGAGTCGTTCTTGTGACGGTGCTAACACCATCGACGAACTTGGTGCGGAAGAGCACGTTAGCGTTGTTGAACATGCCCTCCTTGAGCGAGACAATGATGAACTGTAAGGCAAAGTGAGCGCTTGGAGGGGAGGTCGGGAGAGGATCCAACCTGAGAGTTCTTGAAGTGCGTCTTGAGCATGTGTCCGATGTTTTGCGTGTGGCTCAAGTCAAGAGCGGCATCGATCTCGTCGAGGATGTACATCGGAGCTGGCTTGAAGAGGAGGAGGGCGAGGATGAGAGAGAGGGCAAGGAGAGACCTCTGTCCTCCGCTCAGCTCGCTAGTCTCACGTCAGTCCTGGGCAAGAGGAGGGGAATGAGGAGACTGACCTCAGAGACTCCTTCCAGCAGTCACCGAACCCAACACGCAGGACGAGGCCGTCAAGAACGCTTCCGCCCTCGGGAGGTTCAAGCTTGGCGCGGGCATTGGGGAGTAGGGTCTGGAAGATGGAGCTGTGGGAGGCGATCAGTGAGGAGGAGGAGGAGGGGGGAGAGGCGAGGAGCGAACCTGAAGTCGCGATTGACCTTAGTCCAGGTGGTCTTTAGCGCCTGATTCTTCTTCTCGTCGAGCTCCTCCATCACCATCTGCGACATCTCACGTCATCAAGGGCTACCAGGCCACGGGCGCACGCACCTCGATCTTCCTCTTGTCGTTCTCGACGATCCTCTTTTTCTCCATCACTTCCTGGTACTCCTGCTCCGCCTTCTCGAACATGCCCATCACTTTCTTGTTGATCTTCTTGCCGAGCTTCTCATGCTGTTCCACCAGCTCCTTCATTCTCTCCTGGGCTTTCTTGGGGTCGTTAGCCTTGAAGTCGTAGTCTCCTCCTGCCCCCACGTCAGAGGGTCCAAAGGTGCCGAGCAGGCGGAAGCCTACCAGCCTTGCCGAACTGAGCTCGCTCAGTCGAGATCCACGAGTGCACGCGCAGGAAGTGTTCAACGGCTTTCTTGGCCTCCAGCGAGTCCTTGTCGAACCTGCAGGACAATCAGTAGAAGCGACTCGCAGGCCCTGAACCCTCACCGGGCAATCTGATGCTCGAGCTTCTTGATCGCGATCTTCTGCTCCTCCAGCTTCTTCTCGGTCTTTTCGCACTCCTAGATGAGCCAGTTAGCTCAATTCGACGCAACGGGGCAGGCGAGGACCTTGCTAGCTTCCTGGATGTCTTTGTCGGCCTGCTTGATCGCATCCCTCCTCTCCTTGAGCTCCGCCTCGGCCTCGTCGAACGCGCTTCGCTTGGCTGTCACTGTCTGCTCAAGAGCGGCGACTTCCTCCTCGCACTTCGCCACGACCTGCACTGCATGAGCAGCATGAAGTCGCAAGCAGAGCCTCCACCTCCTCTCCAGCAGCTATCTGCTCTTCGATGGTCTTCAATTCTTCGGCACTCGCTTGAGAATCCAGCAAGATGCTCTCGTTCTCTTCACGCGTCGCCTTCAACCTGCCAGCAAGGAGTGAGGGGAGGGGAGGGGAGCAGTGAGCATCACTTGGCGTTGAGCTGTGTGAGGAGCTCCTTGGTCTCGGCAATCTCCTTCTCCTTGGCTGCCAGCAGCTTGTCCCACGACTTGGAGTACTCCTGGATCTGTTTCTCCAGGCGCTTCACAAGGGCTGATGCCTCTTCCTTCTCCTTCGTCTTCTCTGCAATCTTCTGGTCGCTGACGACCACGTCAGTATCGCATGCTCTACTTCAGCTCAGCTTACCCGGCGTTGACCTCCTCCTCCATAGATCGCAGCTCTTCAGCAGCCTGATGAGAATGGTCAAGGGGTTGACTTGCCATGCTCACATCGGAGGACCTTGAAGTAGGGGTTGGCCTCGAGACGAGACTTGATGAGGGATGACTCGTGCTCGGCAAGAGAGAGCTTCTGCGAGAGGTTCTGGTGCTGCTCCTCCTGCTTCCTGGCCTCCTGCGCCTGGACTTTGCCGTAAGCAAGGGAAACATCGCCTCACACGGGGCCTTTACTTGTGCCTTGAGGGCCTTGAGCTTCTTCTCCCTCTGCTCCAGCTCCTCCTTCTTGTCGAGCAGATCACCTGCACCCAACGTCAACGCAACCCAAGGGCTCCTCGTAGGCTGACCGAATCTGGTCAAGATCGAGGAGGAGGTAGGTGCGCGCGTCCCTCCAGTGAGGGTCCCGGCAGGGTCGAAGAGGTCACCCTCCAGGGTCACGGACTGCAAGGCCGTGAGGCGAGCGGCTGGTCAACAACTCGCAAGCACCTTCACCCTGATGCCTTCGTTGAAAGCGCACGACTTGGCAGCCTCGACGTCCTTGCAGACCATCGTCTTCCCGAGTACGTACTTCATCGCAGCCTCCACCTGACGCAGCCCCTCACACAGGAATTATCCTCTAATAGTCTGTTACCTCGTCGTCGTAGCCCACGAATTCCAGGGCCAACCTGGCTCTCTCGGGTCCCAAACTCTTCGAAGCCGTCTTGAGAATGCTGTCTGGAACAGTAGAGGCCTGAATCTTGTTGAGGGGGATAATAGTGACCCTCTTCTTGAGCTGCCCATTCTTTAAGATCTGCAAGGGACCAAGGTATCAGCCCTCCATGCTGCATGCACATCCATCTTCACCTGCTTGCCAGTCTCTTCATCCTTAACAACCAACTGATACAACTTGGCGCCTGCGGCAACCTCGATGGCAGTCGCGGTCGACTTGTCCTTGAGTTTGACCAGGGATGCTACAATGCCCTTGACTTTTGATCGATCAAAGGAGGAGGAAGGAGAGGTGTACTGAACATCAAAGTTGCTTATCTGCGGCCAAAGTAAGAAACCAACAAGCCTTCAAGTCCTCAAATTCACCTGGGCGGAGAGAGCATCAACTTCCTCCTGAAGCTTTCTTACAGCTGCTTCCTCTAAGGAGATCTGAGCCTTGAGCTCGTCCTGTGAGAAACAATCAGAACCTCCCTTGCTTTCTAGCAGGTGCTGTCATGGACCTGCGCCTTAGCGTCGAAAGACAGCTTGTCGAGCTCCGCCTTGGCCTTGGCAACAGTGTTGCTTGCCTTGCTGAGCTCGCCCTAGTCGACAGGATCAACGCACAACCAGATGGAATTATGGAGGGACCTGTAGCTGCTCGTATTCCTTTCCTGCGTTCTTCGCTCCCTTCTGACGCTGCGACAACTCCGACTTGAGATGTTGCATCCTGTTTCTGAGCTGCACAAGCTCGGACTCTGCAGTGGAGACCTGTGGGAGCACGGTCAAGACCTGAAGCGAATCACAAGGGTTAGGTTTACGTGGGTCTTGGCATCCTTCAGCTGGTCAGCAAGAGACTTCTCGCCCTCCTTGCTGTCTGCATCGCATCCAGCTTGCAGGCCCTGCTTCTGCCTTTGTAGGTCTGTCAACTTGCCTTGGCAGCCAGCGACTTGCTCGGTGATATCCTGCACACTCTTTTCGGCCTTGGAGACTTTGGCTTTGTTCGAATCCAGCACTTTCTGAAGATCTTTGTGCTGTTTGCGAGTCTTGTCCACGGCTTTCTTCTCGCTGTCAAGGTTTTCCTTGCTGTGCTGCCAGGTAGTGGTTGCCTTGACTAGCGCTTTGCTCAGCTCATTCGACTTGGCCTCCAGCTCCTTCATTTCTCCTCCCATCTCATTTGCCTTGGCTCGCTGCAGAGACTTGACGATTTCTTCCTTTTCAGCAATCTCTGCAGACAAGTCCTTGCACTTCTTCTCCATGTCCTTCTTGTCTGCTTCCATTTGCAACATCTCATCAGCAGCTTTTCTCGTCAGGTTCTCTGCCTGAGTGAATTCCCATGCTGTACAAAATCGTTCCAACCTCTCGCGCTCTGTATTGCCAGAAGTCCATTGGATATATGCAGCACGTTCTGTCCGCAACTTCTCCAAGGTTGGGGTGATGTCTTCCTTCAAAATCCTTTGAATTTCTTCGAGTTTAGTCTCTTTCTTTTCGATGGTTTTCAAGGCCGCCTCCTTCTTGCTCTCATACATCTTGGTTCCAGCAGCCTCCGCAATCAACCCGAGAATCTCTTGTGGAGACATGTTGATCACCTTAGTGATCCTTCCCTGCATGATCAGGAAATGTGGGTTGTTGATATTCAATTGGACAGAGTGAAACAAGTTTTGTACTTTGTTTTGTTGGGCAACATGACCGTTGATAAGGTACTTGTTGCGACCGCCGATGGCCACCTGTCTACAGACAGCAATCTCATCGTAGGATTCATATCCAACAGGAGATCCCTTCTTGTCTTTGTTGTCGAACACGATCGTTACTGTCGCCTTGGTTACTCCGGCCTGCCCCTGCTTGTACACCAACTCCTGTAGTGATCCTGCTCGCACCTGCTCCAGCCTCGAGATGCCAAGAACAAAGCAGATAGAATCAAGAATGTTTGACTTTCCACTTCCATTCAAACCAGTAATGGCGTTGAACATGGGGTCGAAGCCCTGAATAACGGTTCGCTTGGCGTATGATTTGAAACCATCGATAATGATTTCTTGAATGTGCATTCCTCTTCAAGTCCTTCAGGCTTTGCAGCCCGATAGCCAAAATTTTATCTGTGCAACAAGAGTCAGCCTTGTCTGCAACAATCGCGCCTGACAAACAACAAAACAGTATTTTTATCTTTCCGGACCAAAAAATCGTAATTTTCATCGTGACATGGTCAACAGGTTCTTGATCTGCAATCTAGCATTCTAATTGTATGCAATACCTCACTCTAGCCATCAATTCTTTCTGAGTTTTGGACATTCATAAGCAATGATGGTCAGCTCCATCTCTTCCTACTTGCTTCCTCTCCACATATATACTTCTCTTCTCGAAAACCGATCCTTACTCATGCTCATCTCTACAATCTGTTCTTCTCTTCCCGTCCATTTCTGACATCTCCTTCTGTTCTCATTCCTTCATGATTCACCGTAGCATCTCTCCTCTGTGTTCCTCTTCTCCCCCTGGTCGCTCCCCTTCCGCCATTGCTTTTCCACCCAGGTGTGCTAGAAGCGGGTAGGGTGGGTAGTAGCAATTTCAAATGGGGTGGATTTAGGGTGGGTATGTTCAGGTTTTGTACCGGTGCATAAGAAATCAATGGGGTTAGGGCAACAATCAAGAACACGTATTGAAGAAAAAGAATAAATTTGATTCTAAAATTTGAAAGTTTAAGATAAATAATCAATCTTTTATACCAATTATACTGGTATGGGGGTACAGGGAGCTCAAAGATTAATATCATGGTGGGTAATGAGAACAGTGACCGGTCATTGCACATTAGTACCCACCGAAAAGAGGTGGTTGCAAAAGTTTTGTAATCCCTAACTGGGTGGGGTACTCGAGAAATTCAAATTTCGAAACCGCCTGCCCGGTAGGTCCCCTACCCCCCTTCCATACCTTGAGAACCCCACCCTTGTCTACTATCCCAACCTAAAGTTGGTTTGTACCTACCGGTGTTATTGTACACCCCCATCCCATTTTTACATACCCCTTCAATTTCCCATATTTCAATGGAATCACATGGGGTAGGTTTGTGCCGAGGAGGGGTGATGTTGGATGTGCTAGGGAATCATCCCATGTCTCTACTACCCCCATATTTCCCCTGCACTACCCCAGTGAAGAACGCTCTGGATACCCCATTGTTCAGTACCCCGCTGTTTGGCAGAAAAGTAGGGGTATTATAAACTACCACCCGAAAGTCCCTTTACACTACCCGTACAGGTGTGAGGAAGCACCCCTACCCTCTCTTCCAGGAAATCCCCTGTTCCCGAGGGGGTAATAGAGGAGATGGGGCAGATGTTCACGAAATATAGTCATCTTTGTGGGGGTAGGTTGGGTGCCTTGGTAGGAAAATAGGGGGTAGTCAATGTGAAAGGAGGGGTACCATTAGGCTTCTACGGGGAAGCCGGGGGTGGGACGGCAAGGCATAAGGAAATGGTGGGAGATGGTAGTATGTCAATATGGAACGAAGAAGGGGAAGAAGTGTGTGAGTAGGAGGAAACGAAAGAATGGTGTGAAGATGTATCAGCAGGATGCGCAAACAAGGTTTTGCACGAGTAGAACATCTTGCTCTCAATGGCAATCTGAAACAAATTTTGTCAGATTTGCTGTCTGCAAGGATTAGAGTAGGGGTTGAGAATTTTTAAGCATGTACTCAATATGTGGAAGGAAGTGATGAAAGAAAGATACCAAGACAATGATAAGGTAGAGAATGATGGTGCACATGATGTAACAAAGTCCCAATGATTTTCAAGATTGCACTGTGAAAGTGTTGACTACCGGCTGCAAAGACCGGTGATGTGTGTCTTTAGTTGGATTGGAATGCTGGTATTGATTCGAATAAGAGTGGAGGGTGAGAAATAGGAACGGGTTCCCGTTGCTCCTGCACTGCATGTGACATCCGTGTCGAATCTTGTTGCATTGTACGTGACTTGATCCTTGTCAGCGGGGAATCCCAGAGGTCAACGAGCATGCATCCGCGAGGTTGCCATCTCCTGGCCATGTTGGTCCTTGCCGCCTCCTTTCAGGTCGACTGCTTCCTCCAGCCTCTTCCCTCCTCTGCCTTCCTGCGATCCCAACGAGTCCTCCCGCTCCTGCCCCATCAGCAGGGACGACAGTGCTGGCGCACAGCTCCCTGCTGGAGAACCAGGGTTCGATCCCAGGGATTGGACGCTGAGCAAGAGCTGAGAGCAGAGAAGGAGAGGGAATCAAAGCAGAAGGAGCTAGAAGAGAAGATTCAAGCTGGCAATGCGAAGGATGCCGTCGCTCTCCTCAAAGACAATATGGCTGTCGAGATCAGCATGGAGCAGGCGATCAAGCTCCTCGACCTGATCCCTCTCGACCTGTCTGCGGAGACAGAGAACGAGCAGCAAGTGCTGACTTCTGTTGCATACACTGGGCTGAAGAACAGAGGGCTGCTGAGAGGTTTCGGGTGCATCCAAGCCTCCCCGCAGTATCTCCCTTACGCTTCTAAAGAGATTGACGTTGAGGCCCTTCAGGAGACTATAGCTCTTCCCATGTCAGCACTGACACCCAAGAACGCGCAGTACGGCTGGCTTGCTGCTGGGCTCGGTCTGTGCACTGTAGAGTACTTTCTGGCTCTCAACGCCGGGCTCGACCCTCTAAGGACCGTGATCCCCTTCACTGCCTTCCTCTTCGTTGTCGACCGGCTCCTTACCAGCGGGGCAGCGTTTGAATCCGCCTACCGCTTCCTCTTCCCCAAGTACAAGGAGAAGGTCATCAAGCACGAGGCCGGACACTTCCTGCTGGCCTACCTCCTCGGGTGCCCGATCCAAGGCTTCTTTCTTTCAGCGTGGGATGCAACCCGAGCTGGGATCAGAGGTCAAGCCGGGACTGTCTTCTTCGACAACGACCTGTCCACTCAGCTGAATGCCAACAGAGTGACGCGAACGGCCATCGACAGATACACGATCGTGCTCATGGGGGGGATAGCTGCGGAGGCGATGAATTACGAGCAGGCAGAGGGAGGGGCGAGCGATGAATCGGCTCTAGTGAGCTTTCTTGTTGGTAGGACGACCCCTCATTCTCACTACTCAGCTCGCCATCCACCTCCCCTTCTTTTCGATCCTCTCCTTCCCATCGTCCCCTCGCTACACTCTCTGCTCTCCTCCCTCTTGATGATTTCCTCTTGATCCTACTGGCGCAGGATTGCTGCCCCCATGGCAACCTCAACAAGTCCTCAACCAAGCGCGCTGGGCGGTCACTGAAGCCATCCTCCTCCTCCGCGAGCACCGAGCTGCGTACGACTCGCTGTGCGATGCCATGGCGCGAGGAGAATCCCTCGGTGGGGAAGGCGGAGGGGAGCGGCACTGAGCTGAAGAGCCCTGGCAGGAACGTGCATCAGCGTCCTCGAGAACGCCTTGATGGAGTTCGAGGAGCTGCCTTCGGAGAAGGTCTTCCCCTTAGATGCTCTTGATGACGGTGCTGAGCCTCCTGCGCAGAGGGCAAGAGAGCGCGCGAGCCTCTACGAGCGCGCAGACTCCAACGAAGTGAGGGAGGCGTCCATCAAGGATATGGACGGGCGCATCGCAGAAAAGGAGCAGAGGCTTCTGCAGCTGCAGGTGAGGAGCGTGGAGACGACGATGCTGTGGAGGGGTGGAGTAGGCCGTGACGGCGAGATGGCAGAAGGAGGAGGACGAGATCCGTCTGAAGATCCGAGAGCTGGGCAGGGAAGGGAGTACGACCGAGACGAAAGGGTCCATGTGGGACAAGTGAGAAGAGAAAGGAGAGAGGAGCGGGTAGCGGGCTGACCCCCATGCTCGACAGGTCTGAGACTGAACGATTCATGTCAACGTTGCTCAAGGCTCACCGCAAGCAGATGGCAATGAGCTCAAGTAGGAGAATACGTTTCTCCCTCCCTCCCTCCTCCTCCTCCTCCTCCTCATTCTTGTCCCCGTCAGCCTCTTCCTGTACTCTCTGCGTGTCAGCCTGACTCTCCTTTCCTTTCCAGGTAAATCGGTTGACTCGCTGCTTGCCGAAGCAGAAAGGAACAGAAGGTGTCCCCTGCTGTTTCTTCTCTTTCCCCATTCAAAGTCTCTCCCACCCGCCTCCCCCAGCTGCTGCCTTTGCCTCCCCCAGCTGCTATCCTGCTCTAATGTCCCTCCCTCATGATCCTTTCTGTTCGCAGACTGGCAGAGATCGACTTGGCGATCAAGAAGCTTGACGTCGAGTTGGAGGAGGTAAGCTCCTGTTCCTCATCGCCACTCCGCATTCCTCTCCTCCTTCCCCCACTCTTCTCCTCCTCTCTCCGCTCCTTTACCTGCTCCTGCTCTTCTTCACACCTCCTCCTCCTCCTCCTCCTCCTCCTCCTCCTCCTCCTCCTCCTCCTCCTCCTCCTCCCTTGGGTCCCTAATTCCACTTCAGGTCAGGGCCAAGATCGCCCAGATGGATCAGAGATGATGTTGCTCATAGTAAACCTCTTTCGCTCTCCTCGTTCAGTTGACTCCCCCGACCGGGCCCGAGACTCACTCCGGCCCGCCGAGTAATTGAGTTGTAGGCTCTCAGACTCGAGCACCGGCTACAGGGCTGCTGCGACGGTTGTCGTTCAAGGAGAGGCGGCAGTTCCAATGAGAGTCGAGCTGACTGAGTTTTTTCACAATGAGCGTCGAGCTGACTGGGTTTTTCACACGATTTACTTAGTTCACACACACATCAATGTCAATCATGGCATTCCACAAGTCTAGGCATGTCGTCGCCTCTATCAGTACACTCAGTAGTCAACACTCGCCGGGCCCTGGCGATCGGGCCCCGGCATTCTCACACACTGACAATCCCCACCGGGTGGTGGGAATGTTGCTGAAAGGCTCCTGCCCATCCGAGCGCGGCTCGGCCCGGGCGACCTCAATCAGAACTTCAAGTTCGGCTTCTGCTGGGCGGCTCCTCCGCATGGCTGATGCTTCCTCTCACTCTGCTGGTGCCTCCTCGAAGTTCAGACGGCGGCAGCTGCTGGCAGTCTGAGAGCTCGCGGGGGGATGAAACGGGCAGGGAGAGTTGTTGAGAAATTCCGCCATGATGCAATGTTCGCATTCACCAACCTCCTGCTCCTCGGGAGATTGCGACGACGATGGCAGCGACCGAAGGGAAGGGGAAGCAGTCGAAGAAAGCGAAGGGGTGGGAGGAAGTGAAGGAGTGGGAGGCGAAGGAACCTTCTTCTTCTTGTACCTGGGAGTGTTCGGGTGAGCTTTTTCGCGGACAAGAGCTTCGCATCCGTTGACCCAGTTGCGGTGGGTGTTGTTCTCCACGTAGTTAGGGTCAAACGTGTACTCCTGGTAGTAGACCAGACTCTTCCAGGACTTGCGAATGTCCCGGTGCGCAGGGCCCTGCGAGTGTTTGGTGGGCTTCATGCCGCAGTTCCTCATCTTGTCCATGGCCCAGCGAGTGGGATTCTTGGAGGAAGAGCAAAAGGCCCTATAGCAAGCTAGAATATCGATCGCCACGATCTTGTTGAAGCCGAAGACAGAGTTCTCCTCCTCCCGTTGACTTTGATACAGTACTGCCTTTCCTTGCGCAGCGAGAATTTTCCAGATCTCCCTGATCTGAATGATTGTGCTGCAGCCCTTGATTGAGAGTCTATCCTCATCCGAGCATTTCAGCTTGATTTTCATCCATTCGTACTCGTCGAACTCGCTCCAGGGAGTCAGGTTATCTGCCATGATGGACGACATGGGTCCGATGCCTTGTCAAGCGAACAATGTGAGTTGAAGGTTGTCAGTGTGACGTCTGCTCAGAAGACAGAAGCAGGGCGGAGTCTTGAGGAGAGAAGAAGCTTGAGAAGAGGTGGGGACAAGGAGGAGGAGGTTGGAACGCGCGCGAGGGCAGGAGCGGAGGACCAGGAACGAGAAGGACGAGGAACTGCTCTACTCTCTCTAGGCAGGTTGAGGGGATTGAGCGGGGAAGAGGGAACTTGTTTCCGCATAAGTTCCGAAGTTCCGCGCACCGTCCGATCGCCACTGCGGCGCGGCCGGGCCGGCCGTGACAGCGCCGGGCCCGGGGCCCTCCAAGCAACTTGCCAAACCGTTGAAGCTTTTTCCCGGCCTCGGCGCTCATGATCTGACTGGCCCACGGCTGGCATACGTTCCACGGTCACCGCACTGTTCAACGGTTGCCTGGCCGCGCATTGCACTGACCGTTCAACGTTTCCTGGCCCTATGATGGCTGAACTACGGTATCGGACAATCGTTCAACGTATTCAAGTACTTTTATTCAACTGCGACTCGGACCAGACTCAACAACACGCCCCGTCACCGTTGAACTTTTATCAGTGTTCCGTTACACTGAGGGCTGGTTTCCCGGCCCCCGGCCCCGAGTCCGGCGATTCAACTTAGTAGCGGCAGTGACTGAGAAAGAGGGCCGCGGCCCGGCGGGCGGCGGCCCACGACTCAGTTCAGCGAGATGAACAGGGTGGGTAGAACTTCGTACGGTCCGATCTGTGATCAAGGCAGGGAAAAGGTGGGGTATATAGTGTTTTATTGGGGGGTATTAACAACGTACCGGTACATTGGGTGGAGGCCCCCGGCTGGTGGAGGGGTACTAGAGTAAGGGACTGCGGTGGGATGTGGTATCATCGCTTTTTTTTTCTTTCCCCTCGTGCTGCAGCGAGAAGAAGCATGCGCGATGTGGCAAGGGAGCGAGAGGGGGAGGAGGACGGGGAGGCGGGTGGATGTGAGGAAGGAGCGAGGAAGGAAGGTGTCCGACTCGGAGGAGAAGGATGTTGATCAAGGAGGGAGTCAAGAGACGGTCATGTATGTCGAAACAGATGGGATAGTTGGAGGGAAAGACGGGGAAAAGGGGTCAGTAGTGGAGTGTCGCGATAAAGAAGAGAGGAGAATGTGGATATCAGTTTCATGACGACAAAAAAAAAGAGTAGATGAAGTTTATGTCGTTGATGACAGTCAAAATGCTTCTTGCAAACATTGATAATGCTTGACAACAAAGAATTGCTTTTGCCCCATGTTGTTGAGGTGTACATTTCAACAGCGCGGTGAAGATTTTTTGAGGTTTAAATGCACCATGTGTGTCTGATTTGGTCAAGAAACGGATTAGCATAGGGGAGCAAGGGGAGCGATGGGAGCTGTTTGCGTTAACATGTACCGGAAACCAAGAAAGTGAACATGTGAAATCTAGGGTAGAAAGTGCTATCGATAATTTTTGCAGTCACGTGACAGTAGTGAAAAGGACACAGAACACCCCACGCTTAATTTAGCAAGCATGTAGCCGCACACTACCTTTCTATCCTCTTTATTTTATATCTCTCATGGATATCTGACGTAATGCTGCAGGATGCCTGAAGAGGAGACTGGTCGTGTGTATTCCGATCGCAAGCTCAAGTATGCCGAGCGATTGGAAACACTCCTAGCCACCTTGCCCAAGGTTCTGCTCACCTCACCATCGCATGCTGTTGCTTACCGGGGTTGTCGTAGGTTCTCATCATCAGTGCGGACAATGTTGGATCACAGCAGATGCACATCGTTCGCAGCAAGCTCCGCAAGGACCCTAAGGCCGAGATCCTCATGGGCAAGAACACCATGATCAAATTCGTTATCAGACGTTATGCCTCTTCCTCGGGAAACTCGACCTTCAACAGGCTTGCTGATCTCGTGAAGCTCAACTGCGGTCTCGTGTTCACCGACGCCGACGTCAAGAAGGTTCGCTCGATCCTTCAGGAGAACAAGGTATTAATCCCCGCTTCCCTCCCCTCTCCCCTCTCTCCTCTCCCCTTGTCCTCCTCTTCTCTCCTCTTACTAGTGTTTCTCCTAACCTCCTTCCAGGTCGTTGCCGCTGCCAAGGCTGGCGCCGTCGCTCCCAAGGACGTGTTCCTCGAGGCTGGACCCACCTCTCTCGAGCCCACCCAGACTGGTTTCTTCCAGGTACGACAGCATGCGGCCTGCTTGTGCCCCCAGCTCACATCCCCGCGCAGGCCCTCGGTATTGCTACCAAGATTACCAAGGGAAACATCGAAGTTATCAAGCAGGTTCAGTTGGCGAAGGTGGGCGAGAAGGTCGGAAGCTCAGAGGCAGTTCTTATGGGCAAGTTGGGATTGAAGCCGTTCGAGTTCGGCTTGATCGTGACCAAGCTCTTTGACGGCGAGTCTGTCATCGACCCCTCGGTTCTGGACATCGACGATGAGGATATCCGCAAGTGCTTCCAGCAGGGAATTGGCCGCATCACCAGCATCGGTCTTAGCATCGGCTACCCCGTGCCCTCTGCCTGCCCTCACCTCCTCATCAACGCCTTCAAGAACCTCGTCGCCTTGGCTCTCACCACCGACATCGACTTCGCTGCCGCGGTAATCCTTTCCTCCCTTGCCTTCCTGGCCTCTCCCTCCCTCTCCCTCCATCATGTTCCTGCGTGCTTGTGCTCTCCTTTCTTGCTGATCGTGAGTCTGCAGGCTGAGATCAAGGACATGGTCGCTAACCCCGAGAAGTATGGAGGAGGCGCTGCTGCTGCCGCACCTGCTGCTGGAGGTGGAGCCGCACCTGCCGCCGCCGCTAAGGCACCCGAGCCAGAGCCTGAGGAGGAGGAAGACATGGGCTTTTCTCTGTTCGATTAAGTTCATTAAAGAAAAACTGCACGGAAAATCTCCAATGAAAGTCTCGTTGTCATGATCACGTTAATCTCTTCCTCTTCATCCATGATTTTCTAGTCCAGTGTTCTCGTGTCATGTCTGCTTCATCGATGCGAGCCTTGCCACTCGCTCCCTTTGTGTTACGTCAGACCATCGTGCCTCCTCCCCCTCCCCCACCTCATCCCCTCTCTTATCTCCCCTCCTCACCTGCACAAGTTGCATGGCTCAAAGGTGTCGTAGCTCGTCCCCGAGTCCTTCGCCTGTGCGTTCCAAACTCCGTCATCCCCCTCCCCTCTCAGCAGTAGGACGCACAATCTTTCGCAGCAGCCGGTTCGTCTCAACACAGCCAAGGCAGAGTTCGACTGACATCCTGTCGTTCCCCTGCGGCTACAGTGACCTCCTCCTCCTCTCAATATCATCCTCCTCTTCCTCATCCCCCTCCTCCCCCTCCTCCCGGCCTACCTGCTTTACGTAGCTGAAGGCCGCCGAGTCTCTTGCTCCCCTCTTCTTCTCTTTGATGCTGCGGCTGCTGCCAGTCACGCTGCTGGATGAAGCTGCCAGCAGAGGCTTCTGCTTCCAAGAGCTGCGACGATGATGAGATTCCAAGAAGAGGAGAGCAGGTACAAAGGTGAACGAGGAGGAAGAGGAGGAGGAGGAGGAGGAGGTGGTGGTTGGGAGGAGGAGGAGGAGGAGGAGGAGGAGGAGGAGGAGATCATCAATACCTGCGATCAAACAGCGACCGCAACTTCATTGCCGTCCTTGAGACGTACTGATCGACACAGAAGAGCACCCTGCCCAAATCACTTCACTTCATCCATCCTGTTTCCCGTGCTCACCCTCCCTCCTTGCTGGAAATTCCTCCCTCACCTCCTCTACTGTCTCCCTCTCTCTTCTCTCTTCCCCCCCTCTCTTCTCTCGAGCACCTGCGGTAGTCCATCTTCTGCATGACGTAAGCTAGTCCGAAGCCAACGAACGCAGCACCGACAAGCGAGAGGTACCATGACAACCCGTCGCCGTCATGTCCGTCCTCGAGGTAATCTCTCCCTTCACACACAGCCACAGGCTGCAAGACAAGGCCTCACCTGTCCATGAGAAGCTGCTTGATCCAGCTGCCATGGCGTCAGGCCCGAGCCAGCAACAAGAGCAGGAGCAGCAGCAGACGAACCTTGGCTGCGTGTCGAGCGAGGCTGCGGGCTTGTGGAAGTACTGCTGTTACCAACCTGATCCTCGTCTTCAGTTGATCTCCGAACGATTATCAAGGTCTACTTACCGAACTCCGGCTGCTCCAACGACCATGATGACAAAGGAATATGCTACAAGCTTCGCTTTCCTCTTACAGAAACGTTTCTACAAGACACCCTCCTCCGCCCCTGTCACCCTCGCTGTCTCTCTGTCCTTCCTTCTTGTTCCTCTTGGCTGATTCTGTTCCTGTTTTTGTTCCTGTCTGTCTCTCTTTATGTTCAGAGGTTCAGCTTTGCGCAAACAAGTCAGTCAGAAGATAGATGATAAATGTTCAGCACTGCACAACCATTGACAAATTCATGACAACAAAACTTAACATCATTCTAGACATGTGCTGTCGTCATCATTCTTATAGGAATATTTCCTGATTGATGTAAAGAAATAACAATGGTATAAATAGCTAAGTTGCATGCGTTCACTTTTATGCTATCCTCTCTCATTCCAACACACACCAGTATACAGACACGTGAACAGAAGGAGAAACAGACCCTGGTGGAGTTCAACGATGGATCACAATCTGCTCTTTCTACGACATCATACAACCCTCAAGTCTCTACGATCACAAAGGTCTCGTTTTGAACTCGTTTTCCCTTCTCGTAGTTCTATTCATCATGTTCTCTATAACATTGCTCCTTCTCTTCTGTGCACTTCCTCTACTTGGAATCTTCATTTCTTCCTCTCATATTCATCTTCTCCTCCAATCTCGTCATCATTCTGCTCCTCTCCTGCTGCTCTTCTCCTTTCCTCTGTTTCCTATCAAGGTGGCTCGCCATGCAACAACGGCACTTTGCTTCTTTTTTAGAGGCTGCCTTTCTAGTACCCCACCCCTTTTTCCATGACCCCATCTATTACATAAATTTGTTTCTTGTACCCCCAATTATACAGCTTGATAAATGGTATTGGACCCCTACTGAGTGGGTGCATTACCTTATACTTTTCTACCCTACCCACAGGATATTGTGTGTGTGTAAAATAAAGAAAAAGAAAGAAAAACAATCCTTGCGGTCGGGCAAGTTTCATGGAGGGCATGGAGGAAAACGAGAGGGGAGGAGAGGGGAGGGGAGAGGAAGGGAGGGAAGGAGAAGTTTGGGTCGGATATGGGGGTTGAGGAAGAAGAAAGGTGGGATGGTAGGTGAGGGGGGGGGTAAGGAGGCAATACGCGATCACCTGACAACCATTGAGCAACTTTGACTTTGACTGGAACGATCCGTCGAGGAGAAGGAGGATTCATTTCTGAGAGCTACAAGGACGCTGAAGCTGACTTTGGTTGGACTTCTCTCAAGAAAGTTCCTGATGAGGAGGGGGAGGAGGAGGTGGTGGAGTGGGGGGGTCGGTCTGTATGCGGGAGCCCTGTTGGTTCACCTTGGCTGGCTCCTGGCTAGTGAACACCTGCAGGGGGCGCATGGCGGGCAGCGAGGCGAAGACTGCGAGGGGATGGAGTATGACGAGGCCATGGCGCGAGGCGTTCGCTTCACTAAGAACGGGGACTATGTCAGGGCCAAGACCTGTCTCAAGGTGGCATACTCGAGGAACCCGAGGAACGCTGCGACGGCGTTCTACCTAGGGGAAGCGTATTTGAATACCAACGAGGCGGACAGAGCAGAGAAGGTGCTGGAGAAGGCGGTGAAGGCGGAGAGAAGCAACTTGATGGGACAGCTGCTGTTGGCGTCGTGCAAGCAGAGGCTGGGGAAGAAGGTGGAAGCGCTGGCTGCCTACGAGGCTGGGCTGCTGCTGGACAAGCACAACATAGCGGCGCTGGTGAATGGGGGGATCGTTCTCAAGGACCTGGGCAGGAGGGAGGAGGCAGTGGCGAAGCTGAACGCTGCGATCAGAGTCAAGCCAGATGTACCAGAGGCGCACTACAACCTTGCGGACGTTCTCTACAGCATGGGGGACGTGGCTGGGGCGAGGAAGGCAGTGAAGGAGGCGAGGAGGTCGGGAAAGCTGCTGACGCAGGCGTACACCCTTGAAATCCTGATGCTGGAAGAGCAGGGGAACAACGAGGAGGCGCTGAGGGTCTGCCGAGAAGCGGTGAAGAGGACGGGGGACCGGTTCTCCTTCCTATACCAGCAGGGGAGGGTCCTCAGGACGCTCGGGCGGTTTTTGGAGGCGGAGGAGAGCTTCAGGAAGTGCGTGGAAGAGGAGGAGACGAGGAAGAACGTGGCAGCACACAGGGTCGCGTACGCGCACAACGAGTACGGGCACCTGCTGTCGCAGCTGGGGAGGAAGGAAGAAGCGCTGAAGCAGTGGGAGCGGTCGGTTGAGGTGGATCCCTCCTTCGCTCAGGGATGGGTGAACATGGTGAGCGGGGACTTGAGCAAGACAAATATGCAGGAGACTATCAGGTGCTGATCAACCTGCTGCTGCTGCTGGTGCTGCTGCATCTCCTCCTGCTCCTCCTGCTTCTTCTGCTGTTGCTGCCGCTTCTCCTCCTGCTCCTCCTGCTCCTCCTGCTCATCCTCTTCCACCTGCTCCTCCTGTTCCTCCTGCTCAAGTTCCTTGCCCCACTATCACCACCTCCTGCACCTCCCTTACTTGACGAGGATTAGCATGTACAAGAAAGCTCTGGAACTGAAACCGGATCTCGTGGAGGCCTGGATCAACCTCGGTCAGACCTACTACAACAACTTCCGCTCGGACCCTCGCTTCATGCCGCAGGCCCTTGCTTCCTATCGTAGAGCACTTGAGGTCAGCCAATGGAGGGAGGGAGGGGAGGGAGGGGAGGGAGGGGAGGGAGGGGAGGGAAGGAGGGAGGGAGGGAGCGAGGGAGCGAGGGAGCGAGGGAGCGAGGGAGCGAGGGAGCGAGGGAGCGAGGGAGCGAGGCAAGGAGGCGAAGGGGAAGTCAAGGAGGACGCGGCTGATGAAGTAGAGCAGGTTGCCCCAGACTCGTCCTCCGCCCTGTACAGCTACGTGAGGACTTGTGTTGACCTCTGCAGGTGGGAGGACTGGGACGAGAATTTCGACAAGGTGGCTCAGAGGATGAAACGAGACATGCGAGAAGGAACGCTCCTCTCCTCCTCCATCTCCCTCGTCTACCTCCTCGTCTACCCCATCCCCGACCACGTCCTCTGCTCTGCGTACGCTGCAAGGGCGGCTCAGGTGCAGCTCACAGCAGAGGGGATCCTGCGAGCGGTCGGGCGGGAGGGGGGGAGGGAGAAAGGGAAGGGGCAGAGACAGGAGGACGCAGTCAGGAAGCGGAGGATAACGGTAGGATACGTTAGCGCCGACTTCCGTCAGCATCCTGTCTCGTTGCTGTTTCAGAACGTTCCCGGGCTTCACGACTCAGCGAGGTGAAGTCGTGCTATGGGAAGTGGTGTTGGTGAAATGTTGGAGGAGGAGGAGGAGGAGGAGGAGGGGGAGGAGGAGGAGGAGGAGGAGGAGGAGGAGGCGGAGGATGCTTGTCGTTAATGAAAAGTCTTGCAGGTTCCGCGTGGTTTGTTTCTCCCTGCTCGAGGAGGAGGAGGAGGATGCGATCAAGCACAAGATCCGATCGACATCTGACAGCTTCATCGACATCTCAAACCTCCCGCACGAACTTGCAGTGAGGCTCTTTCCTGCCTGTCCTCCCTGTCTATCATGGTGAAGTTGTTCGCCTCCAGTTCCGCAGGATAGAGGAGGAGGATGTTTCCGTCCTCGTGGACATGAATGGGTACACTCAACATGGGTAATCGCCTCCCCCCACCCCTTTCCCTCCCTCCCTCTCCTCCTCCTCTCCTCCTCAATCTCTCTTCTTTAAATGTCTCCTGCCCCTCCTGCTCCTGCTCCTGCTCCTGCTCCTGCTCCTGCTCCTGCTCCTGGTCCCTGCTCGTGCTCGTGCTTGTGCTCGTGCTCTTGTTGAAGACTGGACTGGCAGGAGACCGGAGCTGTTTGCCTTGTTTCCAGACAAGCTGAGAATATCCTTTCTTGGCTTCGCATCTTCATTGATGGGGACGGCTGTACGTTTGTTGCCTGCGAAGACAAGTCAGACTGACATGATGCTCTAGATTCAGTACATCACCACAGACAAGATTTCAAGGTTGCAAACAAACATCTGCATCAACAACATCTGATATCATACTCGCTCCTCCACACCATCAACATCATACTCCCTGCATCACCTCATATCTTACTCCCTCCAGCAACATCGTCTCATACCATACTCCTCTAGTCCATCTGATATCATATTGCCTCCTCCAAACCATCTTACATGTTCCCGCTGCTGCTCTCAGCCCCCCCGACCTTGGCGATCTCTAC